ATCTCCACTTCTAAATTTACCAGGCAATAACCTAACATCCGAGAGCTCAAAGAAGTTGACCATTGATACGGTATTATTCCTCGGTAAGGTAGGCAGACAAAGCTTTCGAACCAGCGATTCACATATGAAGCTCTCAGTACTCCCAATGTCCATGAGAGTTCTGACCCTCCTCCCGTTTATTTTTATAGGGGTAGTTGCAGCAATCCAATCCGTAAATGACACTGCCATCACCACAGGATTAGAAGAATGAAGAGTGGCAGATGTCCCGAAGCAACATACTTTTGAAAAATGGCCGATTTTTCCAAATCCTTGACACATGGTGTTCTGAGCTTGGCAGTTACAGTGAGGATGCCTATGGTCTCCATAAAAGAACCACTTTTGAGTTTTAGAAGCCACTGTGGATGCTATGTTTTCTGTCGGGTGCAGCACTAACAACTGTTTGAGAAATAGAGTAGGACTCTGAACTTTTCTGAGTTTGTTCAAGAGCTCTAGCTTGGTCAAAGGCAGTGGTGAGGCCCAGAGTTACATTTTCGAGTAGTCGTTGGGGGAAAAAGTTCACTTATCAAGGTATCTCTTATAGCCTCAGATCTATGTTCCTCAGCACTGAATGCCTTATAGTTGCAATCTTTACTTAAATGCTTCAGATTTAGAAGACACTCGTCTAGTGTCTCTTCTGATTTTTGCCAACGCATTGATAGTAAATGCATGGCATAGATTTCATTCTTAGGCTTGTCATACAATTGCTGGAGCCTATTGACAACTCACTCGTCATCTAGACAGTCAGAAATTAATTCATACACTGAAGGGCCTATAAAGTTTAGGAGTGCAGTTTGTTGGTAAGGTGCATATTGTTCTATACTTTGCAGGAAATTCTCAAAAGTGGCAAACCAGTACCTTCAATCCTTTTCAGCATTCTTCAAATTGGGGAGAGTTTCAAATATTTGAGGTCGCAGAATTTTGTCCATATTTCTCAGAGACCAAGATAGCATTACTGAAAAGTATTTGCGTGTTTGTGTGGAATAAATTGTAATGAAAGACACGGAACAGAGTAACCCAATTAGGCTTTATTCCACACAATAAAATAGTACAACAAGATTATTTTTTTGCCAATAGGCAGTGGGTGGGGAAGAGAAGGAATGTTCACCACAATGGTCAAGTGTGAAATAAAACATAACACTTCAAATGCGTAGTGTTTCCCAAAAGATCAGATTAAAACAATGCTTTTTTTCAAACAGTATATGTAATTTTCAAATCTATTCTAATTTATTGCTTCAAGTGTACTGATAGTACCAATAGTGATTTTTTTTATGTTGATAGCATGACTTTTTTTTACATTTAATCAATCAGACACTTGTGAATTGAACTAGGGGCATGGCAAGTGCAGTCTATATATTAATACACTATATATATCTCATCACCTAAAAATTTGGTCTGCTTAGCAGTAAATGAAGAAATTCTAAGTAGATTGCCCACTGAAACTAAGACATCACATATCTAAGCACTGACTCTGTAACTTCTGATAATGAAGACAAAGCCCAGAATTATCCTATGGAGTTTATAAATTCTCTTAAACCTTCTGAAATGCCACCCTACTGTCTTAACTTGAAAGTTGGAGTAATTATAATACTAGGTCTATACAATGGAACTCACTTGGAAGTACTTCAATTCTATGAGCATAGCATCGAAGTGTCAATTATAAGTGGATCTTACTTTCAGACTGGAGTACTGATTCAAAGAATCAAACTTAAACTGAACAATGAAATCATTTCATTTGTTCTGCATTGTATGCAGTTCATGGTTCATCTGTCCTATTCTATGATAATCAATAATGCACAGGGGCAAACAGTTGATAGAGTTGGCATACACTTGCCACAGCCAAGCTTCAGTCATGGCCAGCTTTACATAATGTTTTCATGAGACAGGGCAATGAACAGTTTGAGTGTTAAAGTAATACCGCAGAACAAATCCACTAAGGTTTGCAGAAGGGGAATCACCTTCACATTGTATATAGATAAGTGATGTAATGAATGTATTTCAACTTTCAAGCAAAAACTTAAAATAAACTTATATTATTAATTATGAACTAAAGGATAATATAATTTTTTATTAACCAAAAACAATTTTGATTAACTGATAAATATTCATTGGACAATATTTAAATTAACTGAATTTTTTCACGGGTCCAGCTAGTTAAAATAAATGCTTTAGAATGACATTCTTCTCTAACTTCTATAATTTAAATTGTTAATTTTCTCTTTATTTTTTATAAATATAGAGATTATTAATGTGTACAGTAAGGATTTTTTATTTTGAAACCTATAAAAATTATGACTGTTTTTGAAGTATTTATTTCTTAATTTTATGAATTTTTCATAAATCTAGTACATTGACAAAAAGTAAACTGTTTACAAATATCTAACAAACAAAAATAAGATATTTTCATCATTTGTTTATGCCTTACATTCCAATAGAAAACAGTGAAGAAATCTTACTGATATCATAAACTTTATTTCTAATACAAGGGTACCTATTATATTACCAAATGTGTGAATTACTGTGTATTATTTTTACTAATGAATTCTTAAGCCGCCAGCTATTGAGTCTGTAAGTCATAAAGGTAATTGCATTTTTAACAGGTTGATAATAAAAGAATACTGAGAGATAAATACCTCGTGATATTTTAAGTCAAGCAAATTTGTCAAGTATGAGGCAGAAAATTTTGGTTTGAAAAATCAGTTTCAGCCTTAATTAAGAGTCAAAGAGGTGCTACGAGGTATACTCAAGAAGTTTTAAGACTTTCTTTTCAGGCCCTTTTAACTGTTACTCTAATACATCCTTGATATGATTATAATAAGCTAACATGCCAAATCTTTTTCCAGGTTGAAGGTACAGCACTTTAAACACTATTCATCATGCACATCCTATCACAGCTGACTGGTTCCACAATGCAGTCGGGACATGAGGACAACAGGAAGGCTCGATATACAATGAAGCTTGAGAAAAACTCTGCAGAAAACTATGAAATGGTCAAAACTACGCACTAACTTTCATGAGCCAGGCAACTGTTTTGCACTGGCACAAGAGGTTCCAAGAAGGCAGGGGGTGGGTGATGGATGGCCAGAGGTCTGGCAGAGAGAGAGACATCAGGACGCCAAGTTGGTAGACAAAATTTGTAAATTTCTGGATGAGGACTGTCATGAATCTCTTCTGACAATTGCCAAACAATCTGAAGAGGCAGAAAGCACTGGGCACAGAGTCACTCATGACAATCTGAACATGCGCAAAGTTTGTTCCAAGGGTAGTCAATGAAAATCAAAGACAAAGGCACATTGTTAGCAGGGAGGTGGTCAAGTGGATCACTCCAAATCCAAGTGTCCTTGAGTCCATGGTAACCTGTAACAAGAGCTGTTATGATCCAGAGATCAAGAGTGACCTGTGAAAACATTTTGACTCCCCAAGGTCCAAGAAGGCCAGGCAAAGCAAGTCCACAGGGAAGCTCATAATAATCCCATTCTTTGACAACAAGAGCATCATATACATCAATTGGGTCCCCCATGGCCGGACAGTCAACAAAGAGTACTATGTAAAGGTTTCGAGGCAGTTCAACATAGTGACCAACCACCTGACCAATATGGGGAACAAGACTGTCCCTCATCCTCCCTACAATCTAGACTTAGACCTATGTGACTTCTGGATGTTTCCAAAGTAGAAAGAGAACCTCTGGGATATAAGCTTTGAGAATGTGGAGGAAATGACTTAGACTGTGACAAGTGCTCTGGACATCTTCACTTTGAAGGACTACAAGAGGCCTTCCAGAAGTGTCTACAAGTTGCATTGAAGTTGGAAGATCCTACTTTGAGGGAAACTAGAGTTTTGTGTTGATCTGAGTTAAATAAGTCTCAAAAATCTCTTGATTGTACCTTGTATATTAAAGGTTTTAACCGTCTTTTTAATAAAGCAGAGTAGTTGTAACTGGCTAATAAGAAAGACAAACTATATAATTATTTCAAGCTGATTAAATCAATGATTGACCATGAACTCACACATTGCAAAGTGCAAATTAATTAAAATTTAATTTTATAGTCTTGATTTGTTGAAGAAATTAGAATTCAAGGACACAATAAAAATTTAAATAACATTACATTCTATTGTCCCAAGGGAAAATTATTTAAAAATTTAATTTGAACTACTAACATTTACAAAGATGTGCATCATAGTGTAATGTTTATCAGTCTGTAAAGTGGAAATGGCAGGCCAAGTTCAAATTATTACCTACTCTCTTGCATTCACTTTTGCATAAATACACTTCAGAAAGACATGAATCCATCTCTTCTTCTACCAGCTATGTGTTAAATAGCAGAGTAAACTGATTTTTCTAGCCTTGGATGGTAACCAGTTTAGGAAGGAAAGTTCTGATTTCCAAACCATATAGAAGGTAACAGGATACCACTACACTATCTTTCCCAAGTATGCATGGCAATTCATAGATAATAGAGAAAAAGAAACTATGGAGAGTCATGATTGCCTACATCCTGAATAGACATTGCATTTAAAAGAAAGAAAAACATCTTTTACAAGTGTGGCTTGCTGAAAAACTCTCAGGAATTGACTAAGAAATCAAGTATTTTACCTCAGCTGTAGAATTTGACAATTTCTATATATTATCGTTGGTAAGAATTTAAAAGATCATGCAATAACAGACAATGTGATATTAACTTATATGCCCCTGGCATCAATTTAAACTGACCCCCACAATATATCTACACTATAAACTATAATTGTGGAAAGTGAAAATTTCAGGGAAATATGTTGCAAAATTTACAAACTTTCAGCAGAAATCAAGAAAATAACAAAATTTAAAATGGGCCCAACAGATGAAAAAAATATGCCAGTTTAAACTGATATCAAGAGGATAGGAGTTAAAAGATACAATTACCTAAAAGTGAAATATTATAAAAAGTCATCAACAAATTATATGAAGGTCAATAAAAAAGTGATCATTAACAAGATTTGACAGCAAAAATTTTAAAAATTTCATTAGATTTATCTAACTTTTTGCCTATGTTAACTTTCCTTAACAGACACCGTATACTTAGATGTGCTGCTGCTCCAAGATACAAATGAACACCACGCACATATAACTGGAGTGCAGGAAAAAGAAAAGAAAATGAATAAAATACACAATGCCAGGTTAAATGCATGGATTCCCAATAACCAACATATACAACTATCAGAAGAAGATTTCAGATTAACAAGGCAGTATGTTTTGAATGATAGTTTTTGACTTGTTACTATAAACTAATGAAATTAGGTCTGAAGTTCCTCAGCAAACAAAATTGTAACTTAAAAAATTTCAGTTTAGTTTATAAACTTCATAAGATTATCATAAGCCACTATATAAACAGAATAATTATATATATATATATATATATATATATATATATATATATATATATATTTTTTACACAATAAAATGCAATAATTTCAGAAATAGTTTTTTTTTTAAATGGAAAAAGAAAAGCAATATGGCTTGGATAGTGACATAGAAATACTGAACAAAAAACATGAAGCAATCATATGAATTAAAGACTGTCTGCCTATCAAGATGTACATTTTTGCTTTCATCAAATTGTTGATTATTGTAATAGCAGCCTTACTGTTAACAAAAAAAAAGTGGAAGTGATAAAATAACAAATGGAAATAATATGTGGTTGATATAAGTGAAAAAACGTTTTATTTCCTGTGATCTATAAGATTTGATTGTTTCCTTATTCCAGGGTATCCCTTAGCAGTCATAGGAGATGAAGAGTTTGTTCAGTGTATAACATAAGATAGTAGTCAAGATAGACATATGTAGTAGAGTGAGATAGATACAAAATATTCTACAAATTATTGCATTGTAGTTATCAAAGGTAGTTTTTGCTGTTCCTGCTAGTTTTGTTATTAACCAAAGGCATTGCTGTTGATGCAAGTGCCTCAGTGTTACTGCTGGTCGCCTGGTTAAGCTTGCCCACTGTAGGGTCACTAATACCAGTCTGATCGGATCTGCCTTTGTGGGTGAAATCGGTGTTGACTTTATAGTGAGACAGTGGCTCAGAAAATCATGTGGCCCCTTTTTCTGATTGGTCAGAAAAGATGTTTTATGACCCTGACCCTGGTATTTTGCAACAGCAATCAATTTAGTATATTCTCACACAAGAGATTAATGCAAACAATAGGCTTTTTATCCTTATAGGCTTATAAATACACCCAGATTTTGATATTTCTATTAGTCATCTCTGAATATGAAAACCATTATTATCTAATTGTAAAAACTAATTTTGCCTTACTAAACAAAATAAGAAAAATATTTTTATCTCAATTTTTGGTTTAAAGACTTGAATGAACCATTAACAAACAACATTTGAATTGTGTTATCTGATTATTATAAACTAAATTGAAAATACAAAGTAGAATTTTAAAATTACAAACTAAAAGGAAAAATTTAGTCATAATATGTGTCGGGTAATTATAAATGAAAATCTTGATAAAGACTTTCACTTAAAATATTGTTGAAAAATGCTAATATTCTTTATATAGAAAATAAATGCGTTGAGCAGAATTAAGAAAATAAAGTATGATAAAAGTTATACTGAGCATAAAAAATTAAAAACCATTTCCATATTCAAGGGGATTTAAGTGAAATTTTTCATTAAAAATAAAGTTGTGATTTTTATAAAAATTACAATAAAATTCAACTATATTGTTTCTATATTCATTTTGAAAATTAATATTTTAGCTTTTTAAATTTTTGTCACAACCTGTACTACCTGCATTAAAAACAAATTTCAGAATCATGGTTGCGAGGCATGATAACCACAGTTTAATGATTAGATGGATCAAAATATACATTTACTTCATAAAAAATTTCAATATGCTTTTATTATGTTACTAATAACTATAAATGATAAAGCCATTAAAAAATGTTGATTTTGTGATGGTTTAAATTATTAAAGTTGTTTTTCAGGAACATTCTGAGACTATGGTGAAAAAAGTTTGGAGTTAAAAATAAAGTTTAGAGACAATGAACTTAAAGCTTTTGTGCACAACAGCAGAATATAACCCTGGTTAAATCTTAAGACCAGATACAAAAGGTTTAAAAAAAATATAAAATACTGTTACTTTAATCAAAATACATTTGTGAAACATTTACATTTAATTAGAAAATGTAGTTTATCAACCAAGAAGTGAACATTTTAAGCTTTTAGTTGATTAATTTAAACAAACATTAAAAAAAAGGATTTTTTTGGTTAGTCATAAAGACCATGTAAATGAAAATAGCAAATTCAGAACAAATAAGTCACAATGACAATTTAATTCTTAGTATATCCTCCATTTTTGCAAATTACTTTGAAAATTCGCTTTGGCATACTAATTATTAGCTTCTGCGTGAGGGTGCTTGGGATGCTCGCCCAGGATGCATAAACTGCAGCACAAAGAGCATCCACAGTTTCAAATTGCAATCCATGTTTATAAACATCCTTTGCCATCCATCCCAAACTTTATTGATTGGGTTTCGATCTGGAGAGTGTTGTGGATTGCAGCATTGTCCTGCTGGAAAATCCAGTTTTCTCCATATAGATGAGGGCTTTCAGTAATTAGTGATGCCTTTCTTAACATGTCAATGTAACTAGCAACTGTTTGATGACCTTTTACTTCCTGTAACTCAAGATTTCCATTGTACAAAAATGAACCCCAGACCATAATTGATCCACCTCCACTGTGCCGTGTTGGGAAAATTTCTTTTGGGACAGCTTTTGCATGCTAGTAACACTGAAAACCGTCTGGGGCATCAAGATTGAATTTTTTCTTGTCTGAAAACAACACTTTCTTCCATTTTTCCACATCCCAAGTTTGATAATCGGAAGCAATTTGTAAACTGGAGGTTTTATGGTGAAGAAGAAGGCAAGGTCTCTGCAGCCATTTCAAGTTCTTAAATCCTTTCTTATTTAAATGCTGTTGAATTGTTCAAGAGCTACATTCAGCATCTGGATTCGCTTTTCTCTGATTTGATGTTAGACTTGAATCTCTCTTAACTTCTTGCCTAATGCATCTGTCTAGAGATGGTGAGATTTTATTGGGGCAACTGCTTGATTTCTGAGAAGCATATGCATCTGGATTTTTAATGAAGTTAGCAATGACAGTTATGCTATGGCCAATTTTATTTCCAATGGCTTGTTGCAAAAGACTACGTCTTTGAAGTTCAACAATCCTGCCCTGTTTGAACTTTGTTAACATTTTTGCCCTTAACCATTTTAAAATCTGATATTTAACACTGGAAAAGAGCTATGTAGATGTCTACATGCCTGAAGCTATGAGCACACTGACTAGTTCTAAAATTTTTGTCCAGTAATTTGTTTTTTTCACACATGGTCTTATCTTTATGACCAAGCAAAAAAAATCTTTTTTTCAATGTTTGTTTAATTTAATCAATTAAAAGCTTAAAATTTTCACTTGTTTGTTGATAAACTACATTTTCTAAATAAATGTAAATGTTTCGCAAATACATTTTGAAGTATCAGTATTTTATATATTTCTTTTAACCATTTTGTATCTGGTGACCAAAGGTGTATATTGGTGATTATATTATTTGCTTATATTTATATATTTTATAAGAAAACATGAAACATACCTTCAATGTATTATCAACAGCTAATTGCAATTCTGATAATATCTTTTTAAGTTGATCTCTTTCTTCTTGAAGGAGATGAACTTCCTGCTGAGCCTGAAAAAAAAAAACACCACTATATGGCATTATCATATTACTTTCATAGAATTAAATTTTTCTTTTTAATCATCTCACCCCCAAGCAAGGCAATAATTCCACTAAGATGCAAGTGATTGCTGGATGTGAAAGAGAATGAGAAGATTTTCATGAGGAGAAGTGAGGATAAAAAAAAAAGAATAGGATTCAGCAAGACAGGAGATAGTAATTGGTGTTGCATTGAAATTTTTGAAGATTGTAGGTGACAGGGAAGCAAGAAATTGGAAAGGAGTTACACATGAGAGAAAAGAAACTAGTAGAATAGAACATACAGTTGTATCTAGCTAGTTCAACAGCATAATGGTGAGACCTAGTTGCCAATCTAGTAGCATGCTTAAATTCATGCAGTTGAGGCACCAAGTAGGAAAGCTCATCAGAATAAATGCCATGAAAATATTTGTAGAAAAGACAGACAGAAGCCACGTCAGTGAAAAAGGGACTGACATCGGTATGCCAGGTCAGGATTGATTACATTATGGTTACTTCTTTACATTTTCTCAACAATTTCAAGATATATAGTCAGAGCATCAAACCAGATATGGGTAGTTGTTAATGGTCACTCCTCTGAGGGGAAAGTGGTCAATACAAGTATCTCCCAAGATTTGCTTCTTCACAGGCCAACCTTTTTCTATTTTACATAAATGATCTGCCTAAGAGTATACAATCATTTGTGAATATTTAATACTGATGATATAATGGTATATGGGTGCACCTTCAAAATTCTAGATAATCAGATCCTGCCAGCTGATCTCTCCTCTGACCTAGCTTTAACAGGTCAGTGTGGGGGGGGATAGTGACATTCTATCATCCATCATCACCTAGTAGGGCCTGAATTTTCAACTATCGCAATGAATGGGTGTTCTCTTGGAGAGGCACATGCCTTGAATAACCCTCTACCTCGAGTGGCTCTTGGGCCTTATACAAGTTGAACATTATTTTAAAAAAATATAATTAGATTTCTTGAAATATTTTCTCAACATGACTTCTTTAAAATCAATAGTTACATTCCATTATGACTTTTGTCTTAGTAATATAGCTTCAAATAAAAGTGGATAAATGACTATACTGATTAGGAGAAAGTGTACTATCCAGTGTGATTCAAACCCAGATATCATGGTTGAAATACTAGCATTCTAACCACTCAGCCATATTCCCATTAATTAATTACTTAACTAATATCATCCAATTTACTACAGCAAAATGAATACTTGGTGGAATTAAATAAGGTGCAATGAGCTGAATAAGTTGTTTTAAATAACATCAGGATATTAAATTACAATTAAACATTCATACAATATTAAATATACATCTTTAATAAGAATTCCATTATTTTTTTGATTGAGTAAAGTTCAAATGGATTAAAAAAATAAAGTTTTGATAGATGTGATAGGAATTTTTTTTTTTTTTTTTTTTAAACATTCCACCCCAAACAAGGTGGGAAGCCACTAGCACGCAAGGGGTTACAGGGAGTTGGAGCGAGAACAAATAAGAGTGATAGAGGAAAGGATGAAGAGAAGGTTAGGGATAGATCAGGGCATCTGGAGACATTGATTGACATTACATTTGAATAGTTGGAGATTATAGCTATCAGGGAAACAAGAAATGGGGAGTTCCACAGGCGAGAAGTGCAAGAGATGAAGCTATTGGAGTAGAAGAGATGGCTACATTTAACAGTTTTGACAGTGAAAGGGTGTGAGTGAGATGCAAGCCTAGTTGAACACTTAAGTTTATGAGGTCTGGGAACCAGCAAAAGCAGCTCATCGGAGCAGTTACTGTGAAAGTATTTGTAAAGAAGGCAACGGCACGTCTGTGAGAGAGCAACTGCAGATGAGATGCCAGATCAGGGCCAATGACATTGCATATCCGTTTTGGATTTTATCAAGGACCTTGAGACAAACAGAAGGGGCTCCAGACCATATATGGCAGCAATACTCCATGCAAAGGCGAATGGTTGATTTGTAGATTTGAAGGATTGACTCCAGTGAGAAAAATTTCCTGGTGTGACACAGGGAGCAGAGTTTCCTTGAGGTGGACGAAGCTATTGACTCAATGTATTCGTTCTATCTCGGGTCAGCAGACAATGTGAGACCAAGCAGTTGCAAAGAGGTGCTCTCATGGAGTTGAGTGTCAAACATTCTAATGGGGGGCAGGGATGGTTCTCTCTTGTGAGTAATAGAGAGCAGTTTTGTTTTTTAGGGATTAAAGTTAACCAGCCAATTCCTGCCCCAGTCCATAATCGATTGGAGGTCCTTTTCGAGACAAATGAACAGGTTAGTTTTGTCGGTGACACTAGATTTGTTTTTGAAGCAGGAGTAAATAGTAGTGTTGTCCGCATAGATGCCTACATGGGAACCTATGACATCAGAAAGATCGTTAATGAAGATAAGGAACAGAGTAGGGCCAAGGATAGAGCCTTGGGGAACACCTGCGTTCGTGGGATAGGAGCTGGAGGAGAATCCGTTGAGAACAACCTTCAATGCACGGTTTGACAGGAATGATTGTATTAAGTTGAACAATCGACCTGAAATTCCACAACCCTGAAGCTTGCAAGGAAGGCTGGAATGCCAAACCCTATCAAACGCTTTGGAGATATCTAGAGCCATGGCATGTGCTTCTCCGTTATGATGAAGTGCTTGGTAAACAATTTCAGTTATGGCCATAAGCACATCAGCTGTAGAATGGGCAAAGCAGAAACAATATTGCTTGTCAGAGACCAGATCATTCAATGTAATGTGCATAAATACTTTGGCTGAAGAGTGGTAGGAGACTGATAGGATGGTAATTAGAAGGGTCAGAAGGTTCTCCAGAGTTTTTAAAGACAGGAACAATGGATGAGGACTTCCAACAGGCTGGAAAACAAGATTCATTGAGGCAGTAGTTATATAATTTGGAGAAGGCAAAGACCAGTTCAGGCACACATTTCTTCAGTACAATGGCTGGTATCCCGTCTCCACCACTGGCCTTGTGGGGGTCTAATTTAGAGATGATGCCCAATACCGATGATGGGGTTATGTGCAACTTGCTTAATTGAGCCTCAGTTCTAAGGGGGAAATCGGGTGTGGGTACACCAAAGAGTTGAGAATTAAATTGAATGAGAATTTCCAAGCAAAGCATTCAGCCTTGTCAGCAGAAGAGGTCAGAACCTGAAACTGGTTGAACAAAGGAGGTATAGAGGGTTTGCTATTGTTAAGTATGCTCTTGCAGAGACGCCGAATTTGCGAGATGCAATATGTTCTTTCATTCGAGCAGCAAATAGTGACTTTGCTTCATTGAGGACATGCTTACACTCAATACAGGCAGAAACAAAGAGATGTCTATTGCAATCAGATATGTCGCTATGATATAGGTGGAAGAATTGATTCCTATGGGCAATGGCAGCTGAGCAAACAGTGGAGAACCAAGGGGAGGAGCGTGATTTGACCTTATATTTCCTTGAGCGAATGAAAGCCTCGACTCCAGCTTTAACTCAGGAGGAGACCTCAGAAGAACATTCTTGAACAGGGAGCATGAAGACAACGTCCCAGAGGACATCGTGAAGGAAATCCTGGAACACGTCCCAGTCTGCTCATTGATAGCAGAACGATGTTCTAGTGGTAGGAGGTTCTTTGCAGGGGGTGGAGTTGAAGGAGATGCTGACCGACATTACAGCATGATCAGAGTTGCCAAGAGGGTAGAGCTGTGAGGTGCTACAGGACTTGGGGATGTAGGTAAAAGATAGATCGAGAAGAGAAGCCTTACTGTCCAGGTTGTAGGAAAACATGAGGAAGTCAGCTATTTGCGTGAGGGATTGAGAAATTTGAAAAATTAAGGGTTTGTATGCCTGCAAGGTCAGTAGTAGTATTTTTAAGCCACTTGGTATGATAGGCGTTAAAATCACCAAACACGAATAAGTGAGCAAATGGATGGAGAGAGAGAGCATTGTTAATGCTGTCAGAAATGCATTCAAATACACCAGTCTTGGAAGGATGGAGAGTGATAAAGAAAGAAGAGGTAGCTTACAACATTGATAAGAGATTGCCAGAGACACATATACGAATGGTCTGCAGATTCAAGAGAGAGCTCTCTAGCCAACGGGAGATGGTCCTTGACGTAAACACCAAGGTCATGATATTTTCAATAATAAAAATTTGTATTTTATGAACAACTGAATTGATAGATTCTTCAATATATTTTGGTATCAATAGACACAGGCATACTTCAAATATGTTGTGAAAAACAAAAACTAAAATAATGTCTTCTTCAAAAGGAATAGAAATTAAAACTGTTGAAATTCAACAAAATAGTAAACAAGCAAATATTTTAAAGCTGAAGATGTCACTCAAAATAAATTGGTGAAAGACAATATGATTTAAAAAGAAGATTAATACCTCTAACTTGACCTGTTCAATTTCTTCCCGCAATTGTTGTATTTCTTTTGTGAGCCGCTCAATAAGTACATCTCTGTAAAAAGAAGAAAAAAGAAGTTTATTTTAACACTAATTCGTGACCTAATTACAAAAGTAATTATGAAATTTTATATTGCATTATCTTGATCATTTATTTGCATCTTACAAAAATTTGGAGCAAAATAACAACCATTTGCATGCACATACAAAAAAAAAATATTGAACATGCTCATCTTTTCAGTAAGGTTAAATTTTAATAGGGTTTCCAAAAAATTGCCATTGAATTGCTAACTAACATGTGAAAAGTAAACCCTGATAAAGCTCAGCAATTAACAAATAAGTTCATACTCCTTTCCAGTCTTTTGAACAGGAGTAGAGGTTTATCCCTTCTTTCCTGTTTTTTCTAAAGTCTTTTCATTCTCTTCCTCTTTCAGTAGCCCCTTGCATCTTAGTGGCATTATTACTGTGCTTGGAGTGAATTGATTACACAAAAAAAAAAAAAAAAAGAAAAAAAGATTACATGTTATCCTAAGAGTAAAATTTTATTGTAAGAATTGCATTTGCAAAACACATTTAATAATATTTTTTTTTCAGGATTTTCAGTTATTGCTGAAAATGTTAGAAAGAGAAAGAAAAAAAGTTCAGTAATTCTCTTAGATAAATTCAAGGTATTTTATCTTTGTTATAGTCATTTTAGACTACTTCTCTCATGTCCAGAATAGACTAGCCTACAGGTTATTTAAATTTTAATTTTCTTCCAGACCACTCACTATTTATTTTATTTTCCAATTTAAAAAATTTTTTTTTTACTTAAAAATGTTGTTTTTCTTCTGTGTACTTAGTGTAATTTTTAAAAAAGATTTTGGGAACTTTTAGATAAAACAGAGAAATTACAATTTTCCTAGTAATAAAATTTTCTACTTTAAAGAGGAAATGTGTGTGTTTGGTCAGTAGTGCTTGTGTTTTTAAAAATCACTTATGTTCATCAATGAGGCCTATTACTGTTCATTCATTACTTCATAAAAAAGAAACTTTCACTTAAGTTATACAGAACTTATTTAAGATTTCCTTTCATACATTATGTTGAAATAAAACATGATTGATGAGGACAAATTTCAAGACATTAATATACCTTTAATTAATCTCAATAATTTTATAACTAACAATATAGGTGGAAGTAAACTGCCAATATAGCATAATCATTTGAAGATGTACAAAGTCTTGAAACAAATAAATAAAAGATATACATAAAGATTGGTATATAAATAAGCAGACAACAACACCTTGTAATATCAAGTGCTATTCTCTAGTAGCAAATTTTGATGTCTGCTGGCACTAATTCTAATATTATCCAGTAGGAGAAACTAACATCTTTTAAATTCACCTTAAAATTATTCCTGGTTTCCACTGATTTTATTGAAAAAGAAAATGAAATAAGAAATTATCGAGTAATGGAGATAAAAGTTATTTTTATGATATCAGCCAAAATTGAGGTTATAGTAAAGCTGAAATTACTTTCTCATGAAACATTCAATTTTCTTGAGTTCATCAGCTATAAAATGACCCGACTGTTTGGTCAGTGAAAGCTTTGTATTTACATTGTTGATTCTATCATAATTAGTGTTTTATTTCTTGTTTTATTTCCTACCACCAAACATGTTTATTTTCCAAGAAAATATCTTTATAAAATACTTTCTATCACATTAATACAGATACAGTTCACTTTCTTTAATATGGATAAAATTTGATTATTTTTTATAAATAAGAGAATACATATCCAAAATATATCCAAATATATATTCTAATATGATGAATAGCAGATCAAACTGGTTTATTAGTTTATTACTATTACTTGATTTACTTCTTTGTTTTTTATATATATATATATATATATATATATATATATATATATATATATATAAATAAAAGAAAGAACAGTAAGATATATAATCCGTGTTCTTATAGATATTTTTTTTTACAAAATAGTGCTCAATGTAAATTTACAGAGCATTAATATTATAAATTAATTGATTTAAAATATGTTTCTTTTTTTCCGCTACACAGTTCTAACCATGTTTGAACATGGTTAGAACTGTCAACAGGAAAAGAAACATATTTTAAATCAATTAATTTATATATATATACACACACACACACACACACACACACACACATACATACACTAAAAAAAAAAACAACAATGTTGGTGTTACTAACAGACAACATATCAGAAGATATAATCCCAAATACAAGAAAAAGATTCCTAAGAAAAAAGAGCAAAATGCAAACTAAATTAAAGTGTTCAATGCCTAGACTATCTAAAACCAGAAAATGCTTCACAATGTTCAGAAGCAATGAAGAATAGCTTGAGAGTTTTATGCTCTCATAATCTTCAGGTGACTAGAATGTCAAGTTGTGGTGAGTGCAAAATAATAACATTCTCCTTCACCTACTCCCTTTGAATTCAGATGAAAGGAATTTGTGAGCCTATGTGAAATTATTTTTTGACCAATGAAAACTGTGCCTTCACAGAAATTAGCCAATCAACTGAGAAGAAAAGAAATGTAGTGAACCCAAGCAAAATTCTTTTTGATATAAAATGAGGAGAAAAATTAAATTAATAAAAGAAGAAATCATGTGAAAGGTTTTGTTTCAGTTCCTTGCAACTGGCATTGAAGTTTTCAGTGTAAAATTACTCAGCAATTATATTATCAGCCTCTAAACAGCACATTGCACTTCAAAAAAATTTTCTCTGAACAATACAAGAAAGCTAAATATTTCAAATTATCTCTCTTCCTCTACTTTTTAACATATGCAACTATATATCCCATCAGTGAGCAACGAGCTCTCTTACCTTTGTTTTAAACATTTTTTAATATTATTTTGTGTCAGATCATTTAATCTCTGTATGAACATTTCCTCTTCATGACAATACATTAAAACTGCAGACTTTAAGAATTTCGATTTATTTTCCTGAAACAAGCTACTGACACTACTTCAAGTGTGTAAATTTGTGAATAAATTTCTTAACATGCTTTGTTAAAATTACCCATGTCTTTCCTTGTCATTATCATAATACATTAATTTTCTTGGCATGGGTAAATCAACTATCCCTTTTAAGTCCTAAGCAACACATCATCATAAGGTCATCTGAAGATCATGAAACTTATGTAGCAACATGTGTGTGCATACACACATACACACACACACACCATATATATATATATATATATATATATATATATATATACACACAAAAAAAAATGAAACACATTTAGTGAAATATATGTATTCACTAAAAGTAACATTTATGTTAAGAAATCATGTCAGGTATCCATTAATCAGTTAAAATACTAAAGTTTACAATACAAAGTTAAACAGTATATAATACCTTCCTTTAAAGAATTTAAATGTTACTATTTACAAGAACAAAACTTATTTTAAAACTGAATTGTAGGCTTAAAAAACATGGTTTTAAAATGTCAATCTTAAATTATAATTCTTCTTTCATAGTTTTTTTTCCCTATTTTAGAGTTGTATATTTATCTAACAAGAGCCATTATAGTACTATTCATTTATAATAGTATCATCTTTGAAAATATAAATTCATTATTATATGTCACTTGGGTAGCAATCATAGAAATTATCTGAAAATTGAAAAAACAACTTTCTCTAAGTGTTGCTAAAAGTTAAAACCTGACCATAGGACATTATATACATACTCACCCTTATATACAAATTAAATTTGATTAATAATCAGATATTTTGAAATGGATATATGATTTTGACGAATTCTGAGACAGGATGTTAATAATGAAATATTTTCTTTGAAATTTATGAATTAAAACAAATGAAGGACAAGTAAAAATTGGGCCCAGAAACAGCTGATGCTAGTGACAGGCATATGGGGTGGGGAGAGGTAATCTGAGATCCTCTGTCAGGAAGGACCCACTTTGCTTAGTGCAAGATTAATCCTGGTCCTGCCTCAACAAAAAAAAAAAAAAAAAGAAAACCAGAAAATCAATAATAACAACAAAAATTGCAATATGAGCTCTGCTAAAAACATGAAATGATAACAGCAAAAAATTGCAATATGAGCACTGGTAAAAAATGGTTGCTGAAGACATTAAGTTTATAATAGCCAGAAATTCATACACAGATGTCCTCAAGGACACATGGTGTTATAAAGGCATTAGTTAGATCCAGTGACAGGACCCAAAGAGTATGAGTTCAATACCCGGTTAAGGCAGTGGAGAACTTTCAGAGTGGAATTAACAGGAGATAACTGATGACTGACATCCATTAAATATGGCACGTGGAACTAGAACAATCTACCCCAGTGAGCAAAATAAAGGGTTCAGTTCGACATTCCAACTACCTGAAGAAGGCTGAAGTGTACAACGGCCGAAACGTTGTAATAAATATGGCGACAAAGATGAGGACAATAGTCCGAATAATGTACATAATACCTCAACTCAGAAATATAAACAGATACCAAAATTGGAATATTTTAAAACTTTTGTCATACCCAGTCTGTACATAAATCATACATGCCATCAAGTGAAAAAAGGTTCAAATAATCCATTATTCGAGATTTGTTGACACAAACTGTACAATTCAGTGAAATATTAACAATGAAATTCTCTGAATTCCACTTGATCTAGTGTGAAATTTGAAGTATTTTGGACTGCATGATACATTTTATGATAATGATGTCATTTAAAAAACAAATAAAGCAATAGATTTCTAACTCAAGAATAAACACTAGATTTAAAAAACTTTGATCTTAATTCCTATTAACAGAGAATGCTTTTTTGGCCATACCTGTTGGTAATGAATTAGAATAGTTTAGATAATGTAACAGAGAGAGGTTGACACACATGAATGCACACACGCAAATATAACGTTTATTGATTGAAGATGGAAAACACGATCTTCCGTGAAAGTTACAAACTGTGTCAGTGCTATTAATAGGAAAGAACCTAGAACAATGATATATGAAACCTGAGATGGCTGATGGGTAAAGAATAAATTTCAAATCGGGTTGGTGAGGACTTGTTGATAAACAAATGCAAAAGGACAGGAGGCGATGTTTAATTTGGGTCATTAAAAAAAAAAAATAGACAAAAATAATATTTTTGATAAAAACATATTGAAGTAAATTGGACCAGGGAGGTAAGATCGGTGTATGTTTACCGCTAGCGAAATCTGATCTAAACATAAGTTGTATCCGCTTAATTTGGTCATCGAAAAGACAATTGAAATGAACATTGAACTAATTAATTTTATCCACAAAGTGATTTGAAATAGATCTGAATTTAAACTTTGCTTATGGTGACACTCGTGTTAAGCGCGTGAACAACCTGGCTTATAACATTCGGTTTGCTATATAAACGCGAGTTTTGCTGAGTTGGAGAGACTTGGGCGTTAGACGAGAGTAATGTTGAGAGAGAGAGAGAGTCTGTCGTTGCAGTGAGTTGGTCCAGTGGTGAGTCAGAGATAAGGACTTCAAGAAATATCATCGTCGTTGTAGCAGTCGCATCGAAAAGTCGCTGAAACTTAACGTTTGTCACTTACGACAACCAACTGAAAAGCTACACTTCCACGTAGGGCTGGAATTACGAGTCACAGATCCTCCCAAGTTGATTTGGAACGAGTTAATCACACACACACACCTCTCTCTGTTGGTATAATTGGTAGAGGAGTGGTCCTCTGTTCTTATGTTAATTGCTTTTCTATCCTTTCTGTAAACTCTTTCTACTGTTGTTGTTTTCTTATATAAAAGACATCAATATTTTACCCATTGTTGTTCGGCTTCTGCATATATTATTTCCTTGTTTGCCACATTCTAATTTTTCTGCTGCCCACCCTCACAGCCATGCCTACATCCCCAATCGACTGTGAACATATGGACAACACCCCGATTACTGGATCTAAAAACTAACACAACGTGGACAGCAGGCGGAACTTGGCCAGTGACTGGTCGAACAATCTACGGGTACTCAGGGAGCGTGCGGCCAGCTACCCCTGAGTTCGGTTCAGACCGAATGGGCACCTCAACCCAAAGAGGAAGACGCCGAAGGTTGAGGTGCTGAAGGGACAAATGGTAGATAATATTATATACTTGTATACATTTAGAATTGTTTATGCAAATAAATTTATAGAATAAGATTGTCACTGTAAACTCTTCATCATTGCAAGACAATATATAATGATTTTTGGAGAAAGATGAAAAATAGGTGAAAATTAACGAAAGTTCACTATACAAGAGTGAATAGGTACTGAGGTTTGTTTTTTTAACCTATTTATGCCTACTATAAAATCCAGTATTAATTATAGGTTTCTACCCATTAAATTCTGCCATCATATTTTTGGAATAGCAAATATTCATGGTTTAAAGCTACAGTTGTGCCCTGGCAAGACTAAAACAATAGGTAACTCACCGTTCATCGACTTCAGGTTGTCCATTGAAGTTAAAAGTATCCATACTTTCCTGACCGAAAGTTTCATCAAATTTGTCATGTGACTCGTGCTAAAAAAATAAAAAAAATAATGAAACATTGCTGCTACAAGAATTTTCATTGAGGAAGAAAAAAAGTTTGACAAAAACTATTTCAATAAGGGTTTATAATTTAAATTAAATTAAATTAAAATGTAAAATATGATCCCAAACAAGATTATTGTATTACTTTCTATTATTTATTTATAATCTTATATACTTAATTACATTTCAAATATCTATTTCAATAAGCTAGATGACTACTGCAGCAACTCATAGCCATGTAAATTTTAAATTATGAGATAAAATAAAATTCAAAATTCAGTTGAAAAAAAAAAATTTCAAATAAAAAATAAATATGCACTTCTTAAGTTAATATTAAGTACATTACACAATTATCTATACTATAACTTTTTAAGATTCTTACATGAAGTTAAAATAATAAACTTTCAAACTTATGTTATAAGAGCATATAGTTAAAGTTGAAAAACAATTTCCAACAAATGTAAATTTTCTGCAACATAAAGGCCCAGTAAGCACCAATGTAACATTGTTTGGAATATTGTTTTCAAGTTAAAACTAAGTCCAAGACTAGAAGTGTTTTAGGTTCATGTTTAAACTAAAACATTCATGTTAATGTTTGCAGTCTTATTTATAAGCCCTTAGCAAAAAGTTCAGTCTTCACAAAGTTCTCCAAAATTCTAATCCCATACCAAATTTAGCTTTGTCTAAAGAACTTCAACTCAAACCCCTTAAATGCAAGCGAGTTTAATATCAAAGCATTCTCTAAGACAATAGTCATGAAATTTTATTTAATACTAATATTAACCCAATACAAGGCCCAAGGTAGAGGGTTACTGAATAATGTTGTAAGAGTGTTAGAAGAAGAGGCAAAAAGTGCAGTTTATAAAGTTATGTAGGAGAGAATCATTAACCCAAGACTTGGAGAAGTTAAGATTGTGGTGACCAGGAAAATATCTGGTTGGGAGTCTGTTTCACAAAGTAGCAATTCTTGGGAAGAAGCTGTCTGAGGGGAACTTCCTTTTTACTAGTGAAATATGAAGGGAATGAGGATGATTCATCCTAGTGTACATGGCATGACTGGTCCCAAGTGAGAAGATCAGAACATTTACAACAGAGTAGCGAGAGGCTTGAAACATTTCATCCGTGGGGGGAAAGGATGGAAGAGTGGAAAATAATTAATCAACCACAAGGTTGCATACATAATTTTTAACTATATCAAGCTCTAGCCCACATATGGCAGTAATATGCCATTTTGATCTGATAGGAGGAGTCAGATACAAGGAACCGACCATTTCTCCAGCATCTTATATATATGAGTTCCAGTTGAATTCGAGGTAAAGATAGTTCAGAGTCTACTTGGTGACATTTGATTAAAGTAATTTTCAAAAATTTTAAAGTGTAAATGTGAAATACTTACGACCGGTGAGGACGTATCGATTAGAAAGCCAATACCATCGGCCTCAGGGGTCTCCGCTTCTGCCTCTGGTTCTGGTTCAACAGGAACCACAGCAACTGGCTTCACATGTTTACTCAAATCTGACGCTATCAAGAAGTTTGGAGGATCCTGTTAACACAAAAAAAAAAAAACATGAAAAAATTAGAATGAAATAAAATAAAAATGAATAATAAAAAAATGTAGTTGTAGTGGCTGGCTACTCAATATTGGAGTATTCCTGTCTACTAAGGTGGATAACCAACCCCTATTGCAGACACCTGCTCTGGCACATTTGTGTTTCTTCAATACCCACAGTGCCCACTTGTGATTTATACTGCAACTTAGTTACAGTTTCTGGGAGTTACAGTTTCTGAGAGAGCACCTTAACTGGTGTAACCAACAGTCTGAACTAGGACAGTAGGTGCAAACTCTCAGTCACATTGACTTGTGACTTTGTGTTAGCACAACCATCAACGGCTCCATAATTCACTCACAAGCCTTGGATCAACACATGGTATGGTTTTCAAGTGGTGCATGCTGGGATCATCTCTCCAGGCTAATAACATCAAAAAGGTCATCTCATGGTCAGAAAGTGAACATTCTAACAACAGCCATGCTCCCATTAAGGAAAAAAAAAAATTAAAGAAAATGTTAAATGGATTATTTGAAAGAATTCTTTTAATTAAATTTTATTATTCTATATTTTATTAATTACACAATATAACTTTTGTGCATTTATTTATATTTTTTGGATCTTACATAAAGGATGAGGAGAGGGATAGTTTAGAAGCATTTCACCCCTAGTAAATTACATTTGAATAGTTGCAGATTAAAAAGGTTATAGGGAAGGATTGGAGGTGTGAGATATGAAGCTATTGGAGAAGAGGCGTAGGAATGATAGAGGAAAGGATGAGGAGAGAGGGATAGTGGATTTAGATCAAGGCAAAAAAAAAGACAGAGAGATGTCAATTGATTGTGGATTGATAGTTTTTTATAACTCTGGATCTTATCAAAACAAACGTGGGGCTCCACATTAATGGTTGGATTATTCGACAAGGAGCCAAGTACTTGCATTTTTTTTTAAAAGACTGGAAACAACTGACAACAGTTTTATAGATGAGGATCATGTCACTCTATGGATTAACAGTATTTTAATGCATACATTATACACTACTAGCGATGGATGTTGCCAATAATACCATTAATATTACTGATTGATTCTATGTGTGATTATTTCTTTTTATATAAATTATATGCTGCCTAATGTTTTATGTTTATAAAAAACTATCAATCCGCAGTACAAAAAAATTCCTATAAAAAAAACTACTACTAAGACATAACACTATATTAATTGAACTATATACTTAGTTCATGACATATTAACTGAAAACACTTGTAAAAATAGAATACGTTGATTTACCACATCACAAAAAAAATTTCAAATAAAATTCTCACTTAAAATTTTTGAAAAAACTTAGCGTTATGTCTTTGCACGTTTCGATATTTGTACACAACCGTCAATAATAGCACATACTCAAAAAAACATCTTTCGGTTGACAAACAATTATTTCGTCTTCAAGTTTTTGATTTTATAAGGAAAACATATGCCTGACGATGAATAAAGGATTATTCAAAAGTACTTGCATTTTAAAAAAATATAAACTGGAAACAACTAACAACAGTTTTATAGATGAGGATCACGTCACTCTATGGATTAACAGTATTTTAATGCATACATTATACACTACTAGCGATGGATGTCGCCAATAACAGCATTAATATTACTGATTGATTCTATGTGTGATTATTTCTTTGTATATAAATCTTGATATATAGACTTCTTCTTAAACCATCATTTAGGAATCAGCAGTCTGTATTAAGAGACATTTTTAAAAAAAAAATAAGCTACTTACATCAGGTAACAAGGGGACTTGGACTAAATTTTTGAAATATTGAAGATTTCCACTTTGATGGTAAAACAGTTTCAATCTGAAAAAAAAAAAATTATATATATATATATATATATATATATATATATATATATATATATATATATATAGTAAAATATAACAAGCAATGAATATCTATTATGTCTGATCATGAGCCACTCTAATGTTTGCTTTAATTTCAGGTGAAAATAAAGACAAAAATTGTCCAACATTTGGATATTTTTTTTTTGAGCTGGTCCTTGATCTAAGCTTTCAGCTCACATGAGCCATCTTAAGGGTGGTTTGGTTTGGTTTGTTTTGTTTTACGGTGCATCAACCTCAATGGTTCATTTAATGCCGACAACTTTTTTTTTTTTCTGGTAATACTTTTGTTTTGTCAAAAATCTATATCTGTTAATATTTTTTTCCTCAAAAATGTATAGCTGGTAATATTATTTTTTCAAAAACATATAGCTGGTAATATTATTTTTCCGAAAACATATAGCTGGCAATACTATTTTTCCAACAGCTGGCAATACTATTTTTCCAAAACGTACAGCTGGTAATATTATTTTTCCAAAATGTATAGCTGATGATGATATTTCTTCAAAAATGTATAGCTGGTAATATCATTTTTCAAAAAACACATAGCTGGTAATATTATTTTTTTTTCAAAACGTATTTTTTTTTTAAAAAACATATAGCTGGTAATATTATTTTTTTCAAAACGTATAATTCTTTAAAAAAAAACATATAGCTGGTAATATTATTTTTTTCAAAAACGTATAGCCAGCAACATAATTCTTTACAAAAAAAAAACATATAGCTGGTAATATTATTTTTTTCAAAAACGTATAGCCAGCAACATAATTCTTTAAAAAAAAAACATATAGCTGGTAATATTATTTTTTTCAAAAACGTATAGCCAGCAACATAATTCTTTAAAAAAAAAATATAGCTGGTAATATTATTTTTTCAAAAAACGTATAGCCAACCATAATTCTTTTATATAATTCTTAATAAAAAAAAAAAAACATATAGCTGGTAATATTTCTTCAAAAATATACAACTGGCAACATTCTTTTTTCAAAAGCATTATCAGAAGCCTTGCTGTTGGACATAGTTTATCGTCATACCTAGGACGCAGATGATGTAGTCTGGGTGTTAATTATTTGCCCATAGCTGGGAACCTAACAGGTGCTAACACCCCGGGTCAGGGTGGACCTGGGAACATCATCAATTAAGAGGTGGTTCCTCGCTCCTCAAAACCTCCTGATCAGAGGCCTTGCTGTTAGATGTAGTTTATCGTCTTACCCAGGGCGCACATGCAGTTTATCGTCATACCCAGTACGGTCTTCAGGGTGGTTATACAAACATTTTAAGAAAGATATTCACCATTGAAGATAATATTTTGTTAAGTTGACATAGAAGATTGCTATGTGACAACAGTTGTGGAATAACAGACACAGGTCATAAGTTCAAGATACAGTGCTATGACGTCATACCACGCGAGAGGCCAAAATATTAACAACAGGACCATATGTCAAGGTGCAATGTAACGTGTTGTGACTAGTTTGAAATATATATATATATATATATAAACATTTCGTTAATTTGAAACAGTTCTGAACTGACTTAAGTCTTTAAACCCTCAAAGTAAAACTTGTAAAACTTCAGGCAATGACTTGAATCTTTCCAATTTAAATTATATTTGGAAAAATAATTATTAATATGATGATTAATGAAAAAAAGAATTGAAATTCCAAATATAAAATGAAGAAACTTTTATTATGATGAAATATTTAATAGAAAGTTAGATGTTTATTTTATTTGGAACTTGGAAAACTGTAACCCTTCATAAAAACATGGTTCATAAAAGAAATGACCTCCTTAAAAAACATGTCACTGGCTTTATAGATCTATGAGTAAATATTAAAGATTTCCAGATGAAAAAAGTAAGTATCTTGGAATTATAATGCTCTCTTAAATGCTGTTGGTGAAAACAGAAATGTATGGTGCTTACCGTTGGTATCCAGACAGAAAGCGATCTCTGTGACCAGACAGAGTATCAGGTGGAAGACCTAAAATAGTAAAACAAAATTTTAAAATGAGTTTAAATCCAAACAAATTTACTTGGAATTCACAAAGTGATTAAGGCAGTAAAAGTTATACAATTTTGTAAAACACTATCCTGGTGTTTGAATTAACTCAAATAATGCTTAGTATTGGTCTCTTAAAAGGTATAAAGAAAAAACATCTCTTACAAAAGAACAAGTATATTGTTTTGCTATGCTTATCTTTAAGGAGATAACTTTTTAAATTTTGTTAATGATTCTGAAAATGACATCAAAAAAGAGAAAAAAAAAAAAGATAATTCATCATTGCTTCACAATATTACAGATAAACATAAATCCATTTATGGAAATGTTCTACAAAATAATCTTTTAACCTAAAAATCTAAGAACAAAGGGCCATTTTTACTTTGGCATTATATTTATTTCATCCACCAGGGTTGATGATTCTAGTTCCTCTTGCCATGCCTCTTCCAAATGTCTTAGTTACTTCCCTTTAACTCAACTCTTCAAGATTTTTGGTTCACCACTGCTGTAGCGTGTATTGAACTCACAACTCTTTGGGTCTAGTCACTGGATCTAACCAACACCTTTATTCACTGGGCCAGGTGTCCTTGAGGACATCTGTGTATGAATTTCGGAGACCTATAAACCTAATGTCTCAGCAACTGCTTTTACCTATGCTCATATTGCAATTTTTCTGTTATTATTATTGCATATTTTTTTACCAGAGCTTATATTGCAATTTTGTGTTGTTATTCACTGATTTTTTCTAGCTCTCTTTATTATTGATTCCCATACTGTATTCATTTCTATGTTTAGTCAGCTCAAGAGATACAAGTACAAAAATTAAGTAGATTGAAAGCTCAGAAGGTGACACACAAGGTCGATCACCCACCAGTGAAACCAGTAATCAACATTACTTAACACCAGCTGAGTGCCTCTGAGGAGTCAATACTAAACAAGCATCTCAACTTCACCACAACCATCAGGCAGATACCATACTTGGACATTATTGCTAGAATCGAGGAAATAGCCTTGAACTTCCCTCAAGCTCAGGCAGATGAACTAACATGGAAAGTGAGACAGACTGGAGAAAGCTAAGCTGCCCAAATCAAACATCACAAAGTTGGAGAGACTGGTAATCATAACCTTACAGAGGAATGAAAATATCATACTACCAGCTGACAAAGGCAATGCAACTGTAGTGATGGACAAAACAGCATATACAGAAAAACTGGAAAACCTCATTGTGAATGGTAGCTACAGCAAAGTAAAGAAAGATCCTGCAATGAAAACAGAATAAAAACTGTCACAGATCCTAATCAAGAACAAGGACCACTTCGCACCTAAGACATACAGGCAGTTGTCACAGCATTACACCAAGCTACCTCACATATATGGTAGACTTAATTGGAAAGGTCACCATCATATATCCGGAACTCTGCCCACTTCATGAAAATAATTAGAAATACTACCATCCAATACATCCAGATGGTGAGCCTGGATGTGGTGAGTTTGTTCAGCAAGGTACCCATGAAGGAGGCACTCTTGGTAGTCAGGGACAAACTGGACTTGGACTCATCCCTAGGAGAATGAACCAGTATACTAATAGATAACCTGATGTGGATGCTGAATTTCTGTATGCAAACAACACATTTTGGAATGGGATCAGACATAACAGGAAAATGGCAAACCTATATATGGAATACTTTGAGGTAATGACATTAGAAACTACATCACTAAAGCCAACCCTATGGCTAAGATACATGGAGGTCTTCATAGTCTGGCCAAACCAGGAAGAAGTCCAGCTACTACTGGACCATATGGACTCAATAAGATCATCAATACAGTTCACAATGGAGAGAGAGAGAGAAAAAACAACAACAATCTTGCCTTCCTGGATGTACTAATATCTCAAACAGAGCATGGGTTCAAGATATCCATATACCACAAATCTACATTCACTGGACAATACCTCAACTTCAACTCCTACCACCAATACAGTGTAAAGAAAAGGATCATCCACTGCTTGCAACATCAAGTAAAAGTCATAATTGGCAACCCAGAGATATATGAACAAGAAATGGTCAGTATAAGTAGAACCCTACAACATAACAACTACCCTGGGTACATGACAGCAGCTCTGGCAAACTGAGATAGAAGGGTACAAGAGGATAACAACACTCGGAAAACAGCTTCAGTCTGCCTACCCTATGTGAAGGGATTATTGGAGAAAATACAAAAAAATATGTGGTCCGTATAACATCAGGACAATCTTCAAAAGTGGTTCAACACTTTGCAGACATCACTTCTGAGTAAGACACCCCCCCATAGAGAAGAACATGACTAACGACTGTGTGTACACCATCCCCATGCAGCTAAGAAATATAAAGCAGAGACAGGCCGCCCCCCTTAAGTTAAGACTGCAAGAACATTGTAAAGCAGTAACATGAGGGGAAATAGAAAAATCAGGTGTAGCTGACCACATATGGAGGGAAAAGGTAGATCATAATAGGCAGAGAGCATCACTGAAAAATACAAAAACTTAAGGAATCAGCACATACGCTAGGCCACAAAAACCTCCTGAGCCGACCAAGAATACAAATGAATACAATATGGGAACTAATAATAATGAGTGCTAGAGAAAAGCAATGAATAACAACACAAAATTGCAATATAAGCTCTGGTAAAAAATATTCAATATTAATAAAGAAAAAATTGCAATATAAGAACTGGCATAACCATTTACTGAGACATTAGGTTTATAAGTCCCAGAAATTCATAAACAGATGTTCTCAAGAACACATGGCCCAGTGGATAAAGGCATTGGTTAGATCCAGTGTTGCATGTTCAATGGAGAGTTGAGTTAAAGGGAAATAACTGAGACATCCGGAAGAGGTATGGCACATGTAACTAGAACAATCAAATGAAAGGTTCATTTCAAAAGTCCAATCACCTGAAGAATGCCGGAGCATACAACGTTGTGAATATGTCAATGAAGAGGATTACTGTAATAATCATAATACAGACATATATACACACACAAAAGAAAAATTGTTATGTAAATTATGCAAAAATGAAAATTAAAAAAAAAACCTTCAAATAGTAAAGAATCTCTGCAACTCTTCTGGATAGTCTCCTTAAGTTGGTGAATGCTAAAGACAAGGAATTTTGTTGGTCTCTTGCTTAACTGTGCCCATGCATTATAGGGAGTTAGGTGGCCAGATGTAAGGGGTGATGTGACATTGTCTGCTTCTGTTGCCAGACATAGGGTATTCAATCAGCCACTCTCTTGATGTAGCCCTCAGGGTTGAGTCTAAGACCTTCATCAACAAATTCGGGATTTCCTTTCTAATCAAAAAAATCAGTGTGAGTTTTCTGAACTGCTATATCTTTGTAATAACCATTAGACTTATCCAATTATTTCCAAATCTTCTGTGCTGTTCTCAGATTGACACCCAAACAATCTGAAATGTTTGTATTGAAACTTCCAGTGTGAATGCCAAGCAGTACAGTATGCCATTTCCATATTTCTGCCTGAGTGAATTGAATCATGTTGCCCAACTGATCTTACTATACTGTGTAATCAACAAAATCAAAAACAACACACATACACAAAATTATAAATATAAAATGGCGACAATTTACCCATCGCACTCATATATATATATATATATATATATATATATATATATATATAATGAATATATATATATATATATAAACATCACACTGAAAGCAAGAATTCAACAATTGGGTACAATTAAATCCATGTATTAAAAGTAAACAAAAATAATACTCACTAGAATGCAATTTAAACAGAGATTTTACCAAATAATCGTAGAGTTGACATGAATCAAGAATGCATGGGATAAGAGGAGCAAGCCGGCATTGACCAGAATTTGTCATTGAATTGGAACGAGACATGTCTAATGATCCAAACACTAAAAAATTTAAAATAAGAAAACAAATGTATCTCAAATTGTTCAATATACAGGATATATTTAACAGTAGTTTAAATAACAAAATTAAACAATTGTTGTAAATGACAATTGGAAAAAAATGTTCATGAAAATTAGAAAAATGTTTTGAAAAAAAGATCTGATGATGCATTTTTTTTTTTTAGTTGTCATTAATGTATAGCTAATCATCTGCCCAAGTTTATCATATATATATATATATATATATATATATATATATATATATATATATATATATATATATCCATCCCATAAGTTCTGTTCTGAATTTTGAATAAAGAAAACAAGTGACCAAATGTTACATTTAATTACAGATTCAATCAACAATGTATTTTCCCTGATTATCTATGACTTCCTTCCATCTATTAACAAGCTTACTAATTCCATTACTGTAAAATTCTTTTGGCTTTGATTCGAAGAACTCACAAATGTTAGTTTTAACCTCTTCCTTTGTTACAAAAGCTGTTTCTTCCAAATGATTCTGTAAGCTACGAAACAAATGGTAGTCTGAAGGAGCAAGATCGGGAGAATAAGGTGGATGAGGAATTTTCTCCCAACCAAGTTCTTCGATCTTTTGTGACGTGATTCTTGCTGTGTGGGGTCGCGCATTGTCCTGATGAAACATCACCTCTTTTCGATTCACTAGAGCAGGTCTTTTTTTCCTCAAAGCTTGGTTCAAACGCTCTAATTGCTGACAGTATATTTGAGCATTAATTGTTGCATTAGGTGGTAAAAATTCAAAGTGGATTATTCCTTGGCGATCCCACCAGATTGAAAGAAGAACCTTTTGCCCATGAAGTTCCCTTCTCAGCTGTGGCTGGGGTCCTTCCCCTTTACCAAGCCACTGTCTATGACACTTAACATTTCGATAAAAGATCCATTTTTCGTCGCCAGTCACAAGTCTATCCAAAAAAGGTGAAACAAGTTGGCGAGAATGGAGAGAAGAGCAGATGTCAACTCAGTATTTGAGGTTGTTTTCAGACAATTCATGAGGCACCCATTTTCCAAGTTCAGGAATTTTTCCAAATTGTTGAAGATGATGATGAACAGTTGTATGGTTTGCACTGAGAACCACTGCCAATTCCTCAACTGATAAAGCAGGATTTTCTTCAAGGGCTGCTTCAAGAAGCTTTTCATCAAACTCAACTGGACGTCCAGTTTGATCTTCATCTTCAAGAGGGAAATCTCCACCTCTGAATTTTGCAAACCATCTTCTGCAAGTTCTTTCATTCACACATTCCTCTCCATAAACTGGATGAATGTTTCTAGCCGCTTTGGCTGCTGAGTTTCTTTTCTTGAACTCATAAAGCATTATGTGCCTCAAATGATTCTTGGGTACTTCCATGTTAGCAGGGTTTTAATCAAACAAAATTTAATTTTATTGTTCTCTGAAATAAAATTTGATCAGTTTAAATGCATCTAAACATAAAAATAATGTTCAGCTCCATTAGATATTATAAAATACTCTTTAAATTTCGTTCATTTTAAAAGTTAAAATTCGAACAGAACTTATGGGATGACCTGATATGTGTGTGTGTGTGTGTGTGTGTGTGTGTGTGTAATAACTCAGACGTAATTAAATATTATCAGTATGGAGAGTAATAGGTTTCAATTCAGAAAGCTCATTTTGCTTTATTCTTATTTCATTTTGGGTCCAACATCTCTTGTATGCTTAGTTTGAAAAAGTAACAATAAAAGTCTCTAGAACAAATAATATTTTTCTTCAGTTAATTTCATTAGCAATATGAAAATTTTGATTCGCACATGATTTTTTCTATAGAAATTAACAAGTCTGTCTAACCAGGAGTATAAAACACTACTTAAATACTTCAGTTGATTGAATATTTACAAAAAAAAAAAATAAATAAATAAAAAAATGAATATTTCAAACAAATTTCCACCTGTTAAATTTTCAATGTTAAAAAGCAACTTGTCAATTAAGATTGAACTCTAATCATGATTAAGATTTACTTAAAATTTGATTAAGAGAAAAAAAAAAACAAAACAAAAAAACACTATTTCAAGACCAGACCTGCACATTCATAATATAAAGTGAAAAGCTGGTTTTAGTCTAGTGATGAAAATATTCTCCAAACATAATGAAAACAGCTTTATTATCATTATTATTAAGAAGAAGGAGCAAGGTATTTTTTAATTATTTTTAAAAAAATTTTTTACTCCTTTTTAGAACATTCAAAATTTTGATTAAATAATTTGTTTTTCTTGCGTTAGCAGTTGTACTAACTTTTTTAGCATAGCAATTTTTCGTATCTTTTGTTTGCAGTGACAAAACAAATTTGGAAATTCTTGCAAAAATCAAATAATTGTCGGATTTTAATAAAACTTTCAGGATTTATGCACAAATGAATGAAATTTTTGAAAATTTTTTAATTAGAAATTCTTGGTAAAAATCAAATCGGACTCGGCCATATCAAAAATCTGTTCTAAAATGGAAAATAAAAAACACAATAAAAGTAAAACATTATTTAATTAGAGAAGCTTTGTATTGCTTTTCTGAATAATATATATTAAAGACAATATTGTCTGAAGAAAAAAAAAAATTTCGCTGAAAAATGAATTTTTACAAGATTTTTCACTTTTTACAATTTTTTATAAAGATTTTGTAAGTTTAAAGTTCAGTTTCAATGAAATTTTTTTAGTGTATATTAAGTAAAACTATATTTCCTATTGATATTTTAAAGCTTATTACAATCTGAAAACCCAAACTATTTTTAAAAGAATATCGATTTGTTTTTATATATGTATATTGATGCAAAATTTCTGAAACATGGATGTACAAACCAATAAATAATAAAAGGTCATGTGTTTTAAGGGTTGTCCCCCCTTAACCAGAAAAAAACTAATGAAAAGTTTCGTCGGGAAACTTCAGGAAAGTTTTTTGATTTTTAAAAATTCATTTTAAACCTTACGTATACCGAATTCAAAGCAATAACTTTCACATAAAAACATTCAAGTAAAAAATAACTTCTTTTTCATTGCTACATATCACAAAGATTGTATTTTTTTTTTAATTTATTTTTCATGTTTCAACCTTTTCACAATTTTTGGATTGTTGCAATCATTGATATACATTTTTTTTTTTCCAAATCCTATTTTTGATAAAATTTCTCGATTTTTATCATATTTAAATCTTTCCTGACATTATTCAGTTTATAGCGATCACCATCTCACACACACACACCTATACAAATTCAAATTTCAATAACAATCATTCATTGGATAGAAATCAACGCTACTGTGTTATGCGACAATTTTGAAATCGCTATGTTTTCGTATAGTAGATGCGCCGATCTTCTCACTCAACGCTCACAAAATGCATATTCCTTACACTTACATAATTTTTCCTCTTGCACAGCAAAACTGTTAAAAAACATTTATAACAAACTATCTCTTTGTTTTCAGAGAACTTTGATAGACAATGATAGTCAAAGAGAGACAACTCTCGTCTTACTCATTGCATGCTTTTTCTTACACATTCTTTATTGTATATATTGTTGAATACAATTTTTATATATAATGATACCTATGCCTTGTCCTTTCTTCACATCCGTTTGGTTTCCTAATCAAAATTAAATAAATGTGGTGGAAGTCCACCACAAGTTTCAGCATATTGCAAAACTTATAAATTTACAAGTCTACCGGTTTCTATTTTATTTCAAGTTTATTTGCTTTATTTTTATTCTTAAATTCAAAGCAAAACTCAAAGCGATAACATCAACATAACATATTTTTTTCTTGTTACACGTCAAAGATCTTGTAGGACCTTCTCACGTTTCGATTTCCTTCATCTTTTTCAGATTTTTTATTTCTATAATTTTTCCATACATTATTCATTGTATGGGATGAATGTAGAATGGCACATAAAAAAAGCATTTGAAGCTCTAGATGAAACATTGTGCGATCTCAAGAGATGTGATGTATTGATATGTACCATTACGTTTTTATTATCAGGTGTCTTCTGACAAACACTTCCAGTTGTTCCACATGGAAACCTCACTGATGAACTCAATGCTTGCATTAAATTATCACATTTGTAGAAGGACATCAAGACAATAATGTTAAATTATAACATGAGAGCCTATGAGAACAGAGACCCAATGGCTGCTGAGTTTGCATCTCTACTACTGAGAATAGGAGATGGCAAGATTGCTAAGAGTGACCGTGACAACATTGTAATTCCTTCAGGATTAGTATCAATTATTTCTTCAATTGAAGAATTGAAGAAAAATTAATTTATTTTAAAATAAATCAAAAAACTATGTTTAATCATGAATGGCTAACTGAGAGAGCAATTCTAGCACCTAAAAACGACTTGATGCATCAATCAACAACTGCTCAATGAAATTCCAGGTGAGGAAAAAAAAAAATATTATATTCTGTGGATTCAAATTTGGATGATGAACAGGCTGTGCAATACCCTACAGAATTTTTAAATTCCTTGGAATTGTCTGGTATAGCAACACACAATTTAAGCCTAAAAGTTGGATGCCCTATTATGTTGCTCCAGGATCTTGATGCTCCAAGATCATGTAACAGAACAAGACTGTGTCAAATGTATACAACCTCATATCATTGAAGCTATCATACTAACTGATAGAGGAAAAGAACTGACTTTCATTCCTAGAAATATTCCTTATTCTATCAGATTCTACAACATTATTTAAAAGGCTTCAATTCTCAGTTAGAGTCTGTTTTACAAGTGATATATAAATTAATATGATATCAAATTTATTTTTGTGCAGGGGAAGCACTATTTAGCAGCTCCTTATAGAATATAAATACAAAACAAAAAGGTTTAGTTTCTGTGGTAAAAGTGATATTTTGTTGTTGTATAGGATAAGTAAATTTTGAAATCTACTAGATAAACTTAAAAAAATAAGTAAGCATGTGAAAATGTCCATTATGTAAATTATGAAATAAAAAAATGATTTATAGACAAGCACTAAGCAAATTGGTGAAACAGTTGAGAAGATTATATACCTGATACTGTAACAGAAACACAAAACAAGGAAGAATGTTGAATATATTTTTAAGCTGTACAATAAATATTACATTGCATACAATTGAAGCACACAATCCTTTTAATCAACAGAGCTAGAAAGACAAAGAAAAGATAAATGTTATTTAGATTAATTAAGTTCATTGCCAGCTTCCAAATATTAGACCTACTAATCCCACTATTAAGTAATTACTTTGTTATATTTACAAAAAGAATGCTTCATACAAATTCAAGTCACAGTATGAATTCATCTGATTATATATCAAATGTACTCATGAAGTTTTGTCTGTGTTATTATACAAGGATATGTCAAAAATTATTCAGATTCATAGTATTTGGAATTATTGATAAGAGTGTGAATAATTTTTTACTTTCCCCTCATAGTATAGTACATATCTCATTGTCTGTAATTGAAAAAAAGGTATTAAGGAAGTTATTATTGTGTAAGTGCAACTTTGTAATATTTTTTTGTATTAATTTTGCCAAAATATTTTCTCTCAACAATTTTTTTTAATCATTTCACACCAAGCAACTAAGATGTAAGGAGTTACTGAGTGTGAGAAAATTTGAGAAAAAGAAATTATTAATAAGGGAAGAGAACACAAACAGGAATTAAGACAGAAGATAATGATTGACATTGCATTTAAATTTTTGAAGATCAAAGTTGACTGGAAAGCAAGAGACCAGAAGAGAGTTTGACAAACAAGAAGTGCAAGAGAATAAACTCTCAGCAGAGAACTTACTGTTATATCTAGCAATTTCAACTGTAAAACAAGACCTATCTGCCAATTTAATACTGTTCTTAAATTCATAAAGTCGAGATGCCAAAGAATAAAGTTTATCAGAACAATTACCATGAAAATATTTACAGAAAAGGCACAGGAAACTATATTACAGTGATGGGAAAGTGACTGAAACTGAGGTCAGGACTGATTACATTACAAATTCTTTGTATTTTATCAAGAATCTCTAAATATGTAGCAGAAGCATCAGACCAGAGGCAATATTCAATGATATGGACAAATGGTATATTTGTAAATGTGTAAGAAAGATTCTATTTTACTTTATTATCTGTTCATTATCAAGAAATTCAATTAGGTCATTCTGTTATCCTTTGACTTGCTTATATAGTATAATTTTAAAGTATCTACATAAAAAAGAAAGGAAAATGTTTCATAACATTTAGCTTTCTTTCTCAATTCATATATTACAATAATTAGTAAAAAACTATGATGAAATGATTATACATACCAGTCTCTTGCAAGGCAAGGATTTCATCAAGGTAATCAAGCATGTCACATGAAACTTCAAAACTGGAAAAAAAAAAAAAAAAAAAAGGTGGGAAAATATTAGATTTTTGTTTCTCTAAATGTGTATAAATGAGATCAATTGACAGATTTATTTTTTATGGCTTATGAACCATTTGTGGGTTATTTCAAGCTGAAATATTTTTTGGCTTGTAAGAGTAATTCATTTTTTTTTAATTTGCAAGTTGCATCGAGGCCAGCTATTGCTTTGCATTATTTTGCAGTAAAGAAATATTTATATAACTTTTTGTCTAAAAGGAAAAGCCTTTAAATCATTATACAAGCTGTGAGAAAAAACTGATAATTATAGAGGGTGCAATGGGTAAATTATTGCCATTTTATATTTTTAATTTTGCACAAATGTTTTTGTTTTTGTTGACTGCACAGTATAGTAGGGTCAGTTGGGCAACCGTCTGTGAGAAAAAGAGTCCCATGATGCAATTCACTCTGCCAGAAATTTGGAAACAGCATGCTGTACTGCTAGACATTTGCACTGGAAGCTCCAATACTAATATTTCAGAATGTTTGGGTGTCAATCTGAGGACAGTGCAGAGGATTCAGAAACAGTTGGATGAGACTAATGGTGATTATGAAGGTACAGCAGCTCAGAAAACTCACTCTGATCATTCTGATAAGAAAAGCATTCCCAAATTTGTTGCAGAAGACTTAATACAGAGGCCTACATCAAGTGCTGCTTTGGGTCAAGAGGGTGGCTGATTGAAGACTCTGCCACATGCAACACAGGCAGGAGAACCCAGTCATGGCTGTCAGACAATTTCTGCAACCACATCTTCTATCTGTTCCCATAACTCCCCAGAATGCAACCTCCTTGATTATTATGTGTCAGGCAGAGTTGAGGAAGAGACCAACAAATCTCCTTGTAACACCAAAGATAAACTGAAAGCAATGGTTATGGCAGCATTCACCAACTTAAACAAGGAGACCATACAGAAGATTTGCAGGAGATTCCAAAGTTGTCTGGAGGCTGTAGTTGAAGCCAATTACAATTTTATTGAATAAATTTACTCTTTGGCATTTCAAGATATTTGTGTAATTTTGGTAAATATATCTGTTAAAATGAGATGTCAGCATTCCTTTCATTTTTGAAGAATTTAGACGACAATTTATCCATCGCACCCTGTATATTTATTAATTGAACAACTAGGATAAAACTTTCAAAGAAATTAGATATGACAATTTCTTTTTTTATTGAATCCAATATGGATATTGTCAGGTTCATACTTTTTTTTACATTGTTAAAAGATACCAAACAAAATTGTCTTTGTCTCTTAAGAAATAATTCTTGTTATTTCTTTATACAATTTACATTTACTGTAACTACCATTAGATGAGTCTAACTACATTTTACCAGAAAACAGAAATAGAATTTCAAAATGAGCAGAAACTTTCAATATAACAATGCAAAACACTTACTAGTTATTTACATCCACTCCAAAGATTTTATTGAACTGTTCATCTGTCATGGTCAAGCTGCCAGGGATTCGGGGATTCTAGAAGAAAATCAGAAAATGTTTATTCGAACATTTAATTCTGGGATTCTATGAAACTAAAAGTGACACTTAACTATAGATAATGTAATAAAAGACCTACTTTTATTAACATATTTAGTAAAAGTATTAAGAAGTAAGAGAAAATGATAGTGAAAGTACAAACTGAATGAAAGAGAATTTGAAAGATAAGCTATCTTTTGATAGTGACTTGTTCTAAATATTGGCTATGACTGCACAGATTGTTAAACAAAAATTGAGTCATTAAATATTTAATTTTCCTATTCTGTGAAAACCTAAAACTCATCAATAGTTTTGACTGAGTGATTGATTTGTTTGTTTGTTTGTTTTTACAGATTATCAACCAGAAAATATTTTAGATAGTAAGAATCTTTTGGAGATAATGATTTAAATACAAGTGCTACTAATTTTAATTATATTAACCGCTTTTTAGTAGGTGCCCAAAAAGGTCATCAGTGATGTTTTTGACTTGGTTATCAGGGAGTTAAACATCATATTCCCCATAAATAAAAATCGACACAATCAGGGGAGATCAAATTTTTTTTCCTTCTAATTAAACGCTAACAGCCACTTTGGCCTTTTTAAAGAATATTTATAAGAAAAAAGATATATTCCGCACATCAAATTGGATGTTTTGAAATTTTGATTTTTACTTTTAAATATTTTTAAATTTAAATCAATTCTTTCAGCTTCTTTTCTTATTTTTTGATTGATAGATAATTTATGGATAACCATTTTACATCTTAATGTTCCTAAATCTTCTCCTTAAGTATTGTATGATTTAATTCTTTGCCATTTTTTTTTTATTTGTACTTTTTTCTTTTCTTTTGGCTTAAAACTTAAACTCAACCCTATTATCACATTTTATCGTTTAGACTGTTTCTTAACATTATTGCATGTTAACTTTTATTGGATGTATTTTCAAAATTAAGATAATAATTGTCCATAAACATGGCGTATCTATATATATATATATATATATATATCTTTCTTGTACATACAAAAATGGAATTAAAAATAAAAGTACAGTAAGCACTATAATATTCCTTAATATTGATTATATACAAATTTGAAGTCGTTAAATATAATAGACGATGAAATGATCTTGAAGTAAATCAAGTATTAACGAAGCTTCATATTATATTTATATATATGTATCACTTAAAACCGCTGACAATTAAACTAATAAAATAAAAATAATATACAAATATATATATGGTAATGATCGAGAGAAAAAACACTATTAATACACTATATACGTGGTTATGATTCCGATTTAAAATATATAAAAATGCGACATGTTCGTATAAATGTGAAATTGAAAAAGACAAAAGGGTCTTACGTTACGTTCGAAAAAAAAAACAAAAGGTCTTACGTTCAAATAAAAAAAGGTCTTACATTCAAATAAAAAAAGGTCTTACGTTCAAATAAAAAAAGACAAAAAGGTCTTACGTTCGAATAAAAAAAAAAAGACAAAAAGGTCTTATGTTCGAATAAAAAAAAAAAAAAGAAAGAAAGGGAATAATGGACAATGTGTTAAGAGATGTGTCGCACCAAAACCACTAAAAAGTTAAATAGTAACTTAAAGAGTAAAATTAAATCATAGCTGGGAGAAGAAGAGGTGGATTCATAGCTTTCACAAGGATATTTGCACATAAGTGAATATGAACTCAACTGGAATTGGAACTTGGCTCTCAGATTTCCAATTCCAAGCCATTATTCATTTCACCACCTGCGCATCCAAGCTTACAGCACCTGATATTCCCAAGTAGTCTTCCATCTTAGTAGTGACCAGGCTCAACATAGCTTAACATCAATGATCATACAAGAATCAGTATTTCAATGTGATATGGCTGTAAGCATGTCAATAGTTTTGAAAACACATTGCGTTTTTTTATCAATAATATGAATAATAACACTTTATTACATATAAGTAGAACTTAGGTAATGGCAGTGCACAAGGATACTGAGAATGCCATGGACTGAACATGTGAGTAACAACAAAGTTTTAGACAAAATAGAAACATAAAGGATACTTAACATCAGGAAGAGTCAGTTGAAATTTCTAGGGCACATAATGAGGAAAAAAAAAGAATTTATTTGATACTTTTTAAGATTAAAGGCAAGAGGGCCAGAAAAAAAATGCATTTGAGGGAAATTAAAATCTTTCAGTAAATGAATGGCAGAACCAGGGTTAGCAGAGATAACATTTGGAAAATTTTATTTACAGAAATTTAGAATATTAATATATAGAGAGAGTAAGAAAACATCTTTTCAATAACTTCAGTGGTAAAATATTATGATGCATTGATATTTTGTATACATCTGATGGCAAAACAGACGATAATTTTTTTTGCCGCTCTTTTCATGGAATTGGAAATGCAGACGACTTTTTTTTTATCAGAGAGATTTTATCCTCAGTCAGATATTATCCTCATTATCATTTAAGACGTTTTTATTCTGGCTCCGTGGTTAACTGATTTAGTTAAAACGTAAAATGAAATAATTTTTTAATTAATTTGACTTACACTATCGAATTATTTACCTTTATAGAGTTAATATTTTTTTAATTTTAATAGCTATATTATTGGTTTTATTTAGGGAATTTGAACTTTAAAATCGAAGGGCTTTGTGAGAAAATTTTATTAACTTTCTAGAAAAGCTCACAAACATTGAGATTTGTTTATATTTGATAAACTTTGAAGAGAAAAGATTTCCAATAGCTTTAAAAGAACTTCTGAAGTTAAAGAAGTAATTTAATTCCCTAGAAGGATAATTATTTCATTTGATTTATTTTTTGTTGAAACAAGAGTTGGTACGTTTCTTTTGTTTGGTGGAGTTTTCAATGGGGAATTATGCCCCATTCACATTCTTGACTTTAAAATAAGATTTAAAATTAAAATATTTTTTGCATATTCTTCATGGAATAAGAAGATTTTAAGAGCCTAGACTAGGTTAGGCTTTGTGTTTTATAATTTACACTTTCAGCTCTAGAGGAAGTGAAAAAGAGTTTCAAAAGAAAAAGAAATATTTGAAGAAAGAAGAAAGAACATAAAAGAATCTGAAGAAATTGAATTGACTGTTAAAAAATGTTATAACAAGATTTGTTTATTATAAAGAAAAAGTTAAAAGAAAAGGGGAAAATGAGGTTTGAATTGTTCATTATAGAATGATAAGGAAAACTGAGATTATTTAAAAAAAAAAATTTTTGTTTATTTTTGTTTGTTATCCACTTAGTGTTGAAACTTGAATAAAGCATGGAATAATAATAATACAACACAAAATGTACTTAAACAAAATGTATTGACACAAGAACGTGTACACAATATTTACAGATAGTTTGGTATATTCTTGGGAAGACCGTTCATGTGTTGGGTTGACTTAGTCATTTCGGGCAGAGTCTCTGGATTGGATCTCTTCTTTATCCCCTTTAATCTTTTGAGTACCAACCATATTTATATGGTTTGTACTCCATATGTAAATGTAGGTGGATAATACCACATCAAAGAAAGCATATGGAACAATATGCATGTAATTTTTGATTTGTTAAAATAAATATTTATCTGTGAATAGTATAGTTGTTATATCTAATAATTTTAAGATCATCTGCTTCATTGAGTGGTTTTTTTGTTTTAAAATTCCTAAGAATAAGAATGAAATCATTTTAAGTCCTATTTATAATTTAAATATATTAATTTAAGATCGTATATGGGTAAAACTTAAATTTGATTGAGAATTAAATTTTTCATTTAAATTTGGGTTTTTAACATCACCCACCAACACCGACACACAATACACTATTTTTTCTTCAAACAAGAAGAAAAAGTTTAAGAACTACAAAGGATGGGAAATTGTGAAGAGTCATGATCTCAAACTTCCTGAAGAGACACAGTACATAGAAGAAAAATGTTAGTGTATAACACACATGCTAACTTCTTAAATTTTTAAAAAATTAAAATTTCTCTTAACCAAGTGTAAATTATTTTGACATATCTAACCTATACCTTAAGCATAAAATGTACTCTGTTTTAGTTCAACCTTTTATGATTTAGAAAATGGTCTCTAATTTTCTAATAATTCTTTCTAAGCATATACTTCAATTTCTACCATATTACATGTTAGATGAGAGAAGAATATATCTAAGTCAATTTGATTAACTTGGTGCAAATGAGGATAAAAAACAAAAAGCCTAATAATGCATAATAGAGAAATGATTCTTAGTATATTAATTACAGGTGAGAATTCACCACTGCAGTTCTTCCACTCCATTGCTACAGTTTAATTAAGAGTGTAAAATAGTCATTTCCTAACTAATGCATTGTTTTTAGTTCTAAGAAATATATAAAATATAAACACATTTCTATAACTTTTCCAACACTATCCTTGCTCAAAAAATACAAGTTTTAATTTCTTGTAAATTTAATGATTTCATAAACAGTTACATGAAATTTGTTAATGTTGGTGTTATGATAGGTATTCTCTCTGACAGATGTAGTCTTGTCAAGAGAAGGTAACTCTCCCATAATTATAGCGATAATGCTTTTATATTGTACCTAATTTACATATAACTATAACTTCATGAATCTAAGAGACTTCATACCTTTACTTGATCTTTGACTTCTACAGACAACCCTGGGAAATATAATCCATCTCTCAGAATGAGTCACTTTATTTCTTTTTATAGAAGATTTATGTCTTAACTGATTGTGGAGAATTACCTCAGAGGTCCAAGAGGGCTAAAGTAACGTAGCCTAAATGTGCATATAGGACAAGTGAACTGCTAACGAGGCAAAGCGTCTGAGCATCAACACTGGAATGACAAGGCGCATACATCATTGTCAGATCAAGGCTGACAGCATGCCCAATATGCAAATTCTCTGGCTTGGTAAGAATGTATAAAAAAAAGTGAGTGTTTGTTGAGTTGGAAGGAAGCTTTTGCATTCAATGATGGTCATGTCAATGCATACTGAACCAGAATCCATTGCAACTGTGTTTCCAGTGTCTGTTCTATAGAATCCCAGGTTTCCTGCTACACTGATTCTCCTCATTTGAATCATCATGATATCTCCAGTCACTCATATCCACAGAGTGTTCCTCACTGCTACTGGATACACTCATTCTCTCCTCCCTCCTTTTCTTCACTTTCATATCTCTGGTCTTCCTGATCACTCTCAATACTGGATTCACTAAACCTTACTTGCATCATGCTTTATCTTCCTTCTCCTTTTCTATAACTTCATGCTCTCTTGCGGTTCTAAATTGATCTTCATGAGCCAGTATGCCCTGTCCATTATTTGTTAACACAGTTGTGTTAAATCACTTTCGCATCACAAAATTCACCTTTTCAGGACTTGAATCTTTGATCTTTCTGTATGACATGCTTTCATTTGTTGCAAATAACATAGTAATCAGAGCTCTTGTTTATTTTCCCATCAATGCAGATGGGCTTTGTCTTCTGCCTGCATGCAGAATAACTATAACTTAGGAGTAGTCTAGGTAAATAACTCTCTATCACAATCCACTGGACAGAATGCTTTGAATCCCATTTTTACCATTTGAACCATTCTCTCTGCAATTCCATTTGACTGTGGGTGGTAAGGTGGCATTTTGTACGAAATGTTTTAGCATGTACATAAACTTTCTTCACAAAACTCAGAGACCAAGGTTTTTAGAACTCCATTTCTTGTAAACTATCCTAAACACTGGCTTCACAGTAGTGGCTTTTCTATCCGTGACTTTAATAACTTCAGGCCAACCTGAATACGAGTCGACTAATATCAGAAATAGTCCTATACCTTTAATGTAGGCATGAAGCATATGTACTCATGTCCACGGTTCCATTTCCTTTAGCCAAGAGTGAATTTTAGTTTGCCTAAATTTCTTTATTTCTGCATTTTGGGCATTCTTTAATATACTCTTCCACTTCTCTCAAATAGCCTGGCCACTATGCTTGCAACGTTAACCTCATTTGTATAGCCAATATACTTCCATGTATATCATGCATGGCTTCAATTACTTCTTTTCTCAGAGACTGTGGAGATACTACATCTCCATTATATATAATTCCTTTTTTTATTGTTAATTTGTGTCTTGGCTCTTTATAAGGCCATAGAGAAATTGCTCCATGTATTTCTCTTCATTCTATCCATAATTCTATTCAACATTGAATCCTGCCTAGCTCCGAACCTAAGCCGATTTAAGGGCAATACGACCATTTATATCCAGTGTAAAATGCTCTCATCACAATTTTAATTTGCTTCAACATTTTTACTCTCAAAATTTAACCAAGATAATGCATCCACATGCGGAATAGTATTTCCTTTGATATATACTATGTCAAAGTTGAATGCCTTTAGTTTAATCGCTAGTCTTAATATCCTGGCTGATGTGACCTTTGACAAATCTCTTCTGGGGTTAAACATAAATTCCAAAGGCTTCTGATCAGATTTTAATAAAAATTTCCTTCCCAACAAAAAATTTCTAGCTCTCTCAGTGCTCCACACAATTGCCAATGCCTCCTCCTCAATATTCAGATAATTTGCCCCTGCCGATGTTAGTTTTCCAGATAAGTACATTACAGGGTGATTCTCCTGCAACAATATTGCAACTGTAGCACAGTCACTGACATCAATAGTTAATGTCAATTCTTTTGCTGGGTCAAAAATTTTAACAACTGGTTTGTTTATAAGTGTTTTTTTTAATTTCTCACAAGTGATTTGTCTTTTTGCCCATTGAAACTTGATATTATTCTTCCTTATTTCATTAAACGGTTCCACAAGGTCATTATATCTGCAATAGAAAATGTTTAATCCTAAAAAAAAAAATTCTCACTCTTATTTCTGGGTGCAGCTCCTCTCTGACATCTTATTAATAAGTTTATCATCCACCAATATACCATCTTTGGATATTTGATATCCTAGGTACAAAATTTTTTCATAATTAAACTTGCATTTATTGTGATTGTCATACCTATTTAATTTTCTCAAAACTTGTTCCATTTTTAATTTTTATAGCTCTTCTTTACCTGATATATGATATTTAAATTTTTTATGGCTTTTGATTATATTTTACTCCAATTTAAGGTCAACTTTATCCAATATTTCATACCATTGCAAACTCATGGCATGTTGTTTCAATGTTTGGTAATGGGAATGAATCTGAACAGATCTGGTGATTCATGTTCACCTTATCATCGCCACAAATTTTCAAATTTCCATTGGGCTTGCATATCATCACAATGGGTTAAGCCCAATTACTACCACCCTGGCTGACTTTTTCTAAAATTCCTTGTTCCACCATTTTGTTCAGCTTAGCAACCACCAAAGGTAGCATGTGAACAGAAACCTTCTGGGCTTGAAAATCCATGGGTTGACTGCTTTCTTTAAGCCAAATACTCACCTTGTATCCCTTTAATAACCCAATATCTGGTTCTACAGACTTCATGGAATTTACCAGCTTCGATGTATCCACTCTTAACACGTCAATTTTTAAAAGACCATGGCTTTTGATTTTCACCACTACTATGCTGGGTATTATCTTGAATTTCTTTTTTGTCTCAAATGTGCCTTCCAAATTTTTGTAGATGGACCCATTGAATTGTTTCAGCTAGAGATTACTTTTCTTTAACTTTGGTCTACCCATTCTTTCCCAAAAATTCCTCAATATCAATGTAACATCACTTCCAGTATCCATTTGAATGAGTAAAGTTACTCGGTTCAACTTTACCATTTCCCTACTTTTATTCTGTGCTTTTATCTGAAATACTTCAGTACTTTCAATCAGAATATCTATATTTTCCACTATTTCCACTTACTTTTTATATGTGCATACCATCTAAAATTGATTCCTCTTTTTACACTTAAAACACTATTTCCCAAAGGCCTGACACTTAATTTTGCTCTTTTCATGTTTCTTATTGCAATATTTTAGTAGCACTGTAAGTCTCCATGTTGCCTTCGGAGGCATTAAATTTTTCAATCAATTCCAGTTATAAGAACTCCACACATGCTTCCAGATTCATATTGCAAGCTTGAAGCCACTCTAAAATTTTATGTTTGTATGAGATGTCAAGCATTCTTCAATCAGTCTTAGCACAATTAGCTTGTCTTTGATAGACATTTGTTCCAAATAAATTCTTTCAAACACACAATATCTCAATGCTTCTTTCAATTGCTGTACATATTGCATGATAGTTTCATCCGGTCTCTGTCTACTTTTGAGAAATTTAGTTCTTTCCACTATGATCAATCTTTTCTTGATCGTACATTTGCTTTTATGATGGCAGCAGTTTCTTCATACACTAAATCTTCCAACTGTGGGATAGACCATGATGGAGATTTTTTTTTTTTTAAGGCTTCACACCCCATTGAGGCCAAAAACAAATCCATAACTTCATTTTCTCCTCCACTAGCTTTGCTGTCCTTTAATTCAGGATGCTCCATCGTAGTTAAGTAACTGATCAGCAATGTCATATTGTTACGATAGCTGAAAGGTGTAGTCTCATGAAGGGAAAGTAACTCTCCCATAAGTATAGTGATATTGCCTTTTATACCGTACCTAACTTACATATCACTACAGTTGGATTAAATTCAATGATCCTTAAAAGCTTTTAATTTTATAAAAATGGTCATTTACCTTTTTGTGAAATGACAGTTTCTGAATCAACAGCTTTGTATAGGCAGCTATCAGCCTTCCATAGCCGTCCTTCAAATGGCCCTGTAAAAATGATTAAAAGAAAAAACTGAATTTACACAATATGTTCATATCAATGAAATCACATATAAATTCCAAAACCATCAACCAGCCAAGACCAAAATATCCCCATAAAAATAGCAAATCAAGCATAATATACATGCATTTCTCTTCAGATCACTGCCAATGTTGATGATAAAATATACAAAATAAAAGATTCAAAAGCAAAAAAAAAAGCATAATTCCCAATTGCAACCAAAATTATAAAATAATTTTCATTATTCAACATATCGATTTTATAAATTGCAATTATCAAAATAAGAGTTATCTTAATATTTTAAATGATAAGAATTTAATTTTGTAATATTGATATTGTAGAGAATTTTATATGGAGGAAGGAAGTTTTAGTAAAGACATTAATTTTAGTAAATATTCCTTTCTTTTTCATGAAAAACTTGATTTCGTTCTTTGTGCTTGCTTTAACTTCTCTATTTTCTTTAGATTATAATAATTTTCTCTTCCAAACTTCCAAGAGTTTTTGAGGTGTTTCATCATCTAGATGGCTCTGACTCCTAATTTCTCTATTAATACTTTTTCTTCAGCTCTTTTGGACTGTTCCCAGTGCTCTTATAACAATTAGCTCAACTGTCAATACATTCTACAACTTATTCATCTCCCTGGTAAGGTCAAGATACTAATGCATATTTTCACTTTCTTTCAGTTTTCTATTCTTTGGTCTAACAGAACTATGAAATCAACTATCTGGTAAGTTTTCTTTTTACCACAGCCAGATTTTCTGGCTTGGATTGGATGAAAATCTAAATACAACATCAGTCATCATCATCGGTTTCCTTTTATTGTCCTCTTTCTCATCAATAACGTTTTCTCAGTTTCTTTCACCTTTACCACTTGTGTATTCATAACTTCATCACCTTGCTTGGAGTGAAATCTTAAAAAAGTAAAATCTGTTTGAATCTTAAAATTGCAGAGGATTTTATATACAAGTTCTGGACTGTGCAGATATAATTGGTCTGTATGATCAAAATGTAGGCACATTAACTTTTTCTAATGACTTCTTGAAACTAATCTTGATTGCATTTTCTTAATGTATCACTCAGTAGCATCATCACTATAACAAATACTAATATGTACAATAGGTCTGCTTGGAAGATAACTCTTTTGACCTCTTGCACTTAGTGAACTTTGTAACTAAGGCCATGGAAAATGGAAAATCAACATATCTTGAAATTTTTAGCATCTTCAGGCATTCTATTTTATTTAGTTGTGATATTATTATCATTATTATAATAAAGGATAAAAAACAATTTTTTAAAAAATGCTAGTAACATTCTATATCAAATTTAAAAAAGAAACAAAGAAATTGGTGGCAATAACAGAGGACACCTTAAAATAGAAACAGAAACTTGTTAATAGCTTCCCAGAACAAGTACATTAAAATTAACTATACTAAGACTAAGATAGATAAGACATAGAAGATTACAGTGTGAAGAGATTAAACCATCCAGCTATATAACAAGCGAATGCTGTAAATTAACTCGGGAATATGAAAAATGGATGTTACTGGGAAGGAATGTTGATCCCTTACGACATGACCATGTAGACCAGTGGTTCTCAACCGGGGTCTACATGGACCCTAGGGGTCCATGTAATATTTCCGGGGTCCACAAAAAACTCAATTGTTGTGTTAATTAAAAATAGTAATAATAATTATTATTATAATTATAGTAGAATATTTTATTTGTATTAAATTAGTTTTCATTTAAAAATAAAGCTTAATCGTATACTATTTCTTTGATAATTAAAACCTTAAAATTTATATTAGTGAAGAATAGAAAATTGTTCTTATGTCCAATAGCTATGAAGGGGTCCACCAAGATAAAAAGAAGGGGAAATGGGTCCATGGGTAAAAAAAGGTTGAGATCCACTGATGTAGACTAATGGTATATTCATAAGATGCCATAAAGAATAGACAATGTAAAATTCTAAGGGAATTCTAAAAATCCTGACCAAATCTAGTCAATATAAAGGAAGCATTGTCAAATAATGGATATTTCTGTTCTAGCAATCTACAAAATTGAACTGAAAGAACAAAAAGCTGGATAAGTATCAAGACCTTGACAGAGAACTGAAAAGACAGCTGCAACCATCATTATCAGCTTACTCATAATAGTCCTAAATAGTCTTGCAACATAAATAAAGAACTAAATATCAGAGGAAGAATAGAAATCATCCACACAAGAGAATTACTGAAATCAGTGAAATATTAGACTTTTCTATCATTCTGTTGATTTCTGTAGAATGTTTTTTTTTTTTTTTTCAAAAAAACCAAAAGAAGGGAATTCTCAAGATTAATTTTTCTTCACTCCATAAGCTCAATTTTTATTACCGGATATTACATGAAAAAGTATCAAACATTTTAGTCTCCACTCATTGTCAAAGTTGGTAATATAGATAATAGCTTTTTGCCATTACTATTTAAACAAGTAAAGGGTAATTATATAAAAATGATTTGTCAAGTGCACACTCACTTACTTATGCCAATCATCATGACATGACATTTTGTTTAAATAGCTAACAATGAAAAGAGAGAGAGATATTCATGGTTTTTCTCAAGAACATTATGGAATACAGAATCAATGAACAGTGTTCAAATTTTCTAACAAGTGTAAAAAGCATTAAGATTTCACCTGAAGTGAATAAATACTTTTGCACTTAACTTTATTAAATAAAAAAATCACATGACCATACTTAAATATTTCAACCATTCTTCAAGAGACATGGTGTTTTCAAAGGCTTCTGCTTTTATTATTTAAACACATTTTATTTTCTTTCAGTCTGAAAAAGAATATTAATGTCACCATACCTTAAAGTTTAATGACAAGAAAGTTCTCAAAATGTTGTGTAGGAAACCTACCACCCCTCTTGAAGATGAACTTGTCTACAAACAAAGACGTTAAATAGTGGCATGTCAAAAGACAGACAGAGTCAGAGAAGTTCTTGGCTGAGCTAGTTATAGACTACTCAGGCGATTTCTGTACCTATTTACCAACCGAATAAACCCCTTTTTATTGTTACGTGTTATTTGGCGTTTGTCTTTATTAACCCCAAATCAACATCATAACACAAAATAAAACAATAATTTAAATAATTCTAAAATGTTAACAATCTTTGATGCGTTTTGAGTAGATTTGATAATGTAAAATAATATAAAAAATTCTAAAAAGAAAAATCTCATTATATCATTATTTCTCATTTTATTCTATTATTTATTATCATTCTATTTTTTTCATATTATCATCAGAATTTTGCATAATTAGATACTCAAAAATGTGTATTTTAAGAAACAATAAAACAATATATTAATTTAAATTTCAAAATTAAATGATGTAAATTTTTATAGAAAAAGAAATGTAAAGCATTTGACAAATCAGAAGATGAGTTAACAATATTGGTTTAACAAAATCAGGTAAATAAAACTATTTTAAAGTTTTCAGAATATAAGTTAATCCTGTTCAGAACTGACAAACTGAATAAAAAAATTTCTTTTTAAATCTGTTTTTAAGAGTAAAAAGCTATATCCCGTTCTTAGTAATTAATCTTACTTATTATAAAACGCAGATTGTGTGTGTGTGTGTGTGTGTGTCTGTACGTTTATATATTGGATCGGATTTCCTACATTTTTCAACCGATTTCAACAAAACTTCACAGGACTACATAAAATTACCTTGCAGTCATTCTCATAGTGATTGAAAACAATGTTTTTGTTTGAGTTTGACTAATTCATAAAAAAAATAAAATAAAAAATAAAACTAATTAAGAAATGCCTGTCCGTCAACCTTAAGCAATAATCTTTGTCAATTTTATTTTTCAGTCTTTATGATGGTCGATACTTGATCTATCTCTTACTGTTACATCCCCAGGCAACGCCAGGCTCTACAGCTAGTAGTTAATAAACTTTACAATTATCATTAGAATCTGAACAAGTCTTGTTTCATGTCCACTCCTTTATGATTGGACGTATTGTCCAATATTGGGAAATTGAAATATATATTTCTAAGAAGGGCTATAGACAAGGCCAGGTAAATCAATTTGAACTATATTTTTTAAATGATTGTTATATGCATCAAATATAGGAAAAATGTGTTGTGCAAAGATATATATATATATATATATATATATATATATATATATATATATATATATATATATATATATATGATAGTATATGAACAAATAGGAAACATTCCTTATGCTATCATTCTGTTGGATTCTGACCCACAAACACACACACACATATATATATATATATATATATATATATATATATATATACATACATATATATATATTTGTAACAGCATAATTGGCCATTCCACAAAATGTTTAATATCTAAAAATCTACTAAACTAATTGAGTTTCTTTTTTCCAGGTTTTCAGTTAAGACATTTAGCCATCTTGATACCATTTGTTATAAGAATCACTGAAAATCCCTTTGAGTTATTCAGCTAGAAAGAGAACAGATTAAAATTATTTTGTATCAGACCCACTGTCTTCTCAACTAAGGAATGTTGAGAGGAAAAAAAATAATTCAGGCTTTCAGGAATAGTACCAACATTTATACTCTGCCTTCTATGTTCAAAGTTCATTCAAGAACCATTAAGAGAACAGAGAATAAGTTTAAAAAAGAGGGAAGAAGAAACATACATAGAAAACACATTAAAAAAACTTACAATACCTATATCATTTCATCCACAACGCAAGAAGAAAGGCATACAAAATATACAACCGAAACAAAAATAATAACATAATCCGCAATAATAAATTACATGAAAACAGATGCATAATACTACTGACCAACTCTGCCATGTCCACTATCCAGAACAACCTATCCCATCTAAATAATCCTAAAATGGTCACAAACACTTCCAAAACCATTATGGATATACTCAGATCTTCAAACACTAATAGCAATAATATTTTTCTGAAGCAGGCATTTATAAAATAAATTGCCAAAACTGTTCCTCCCAATTTATTGGAGAAACAAGTAGAAATTTTTAAAAAAATGCATTTATGAGCACAAAAGAGACCTCACAAAAAACAACTTAACTAATTCACTAGTCATACATAGAAATAAATTCAACCACAATTTTGATTTTAAAAATGCTACACTCATAAAAAAAGAAAATAACTCACTCAGAAGGAAAATCCTTGAGAGTGCTGCCATTGAATATTATCCAAATATTAATCTACACCCAGGCCTTTTCCCTATTTCACCTTTCCTAACAGATAACTACTCTCCCAAGTAAACATACACAACTATATCCAGTAATCAAAAGAAAATGGTTGAATCCATCAACACAACAATAAAAACATTATTTCCACTTGTGATAGTACTTGACGTAATTTTCAGTTGACAATATGAATATATAATAACATTTTCTAAATTCTTCCAGTTGCTAAGAACATTTTGTTTTGTTATTATTAGTAACTTTGTTTTAATAAATTCATTTTGTTTTTGTCTTGAAAAAGTCAACATTGGATGAAATGCGTCGGCTAATATTACAGTTTTCCTATTGTCTTTTACATTTATACACACACATATATATATATATATATATATATATATATATATATATAGATAGAGAGAGAGAGAGAGAAAATGTAGCCAAATGGTTTAGAACATTCACTTTCTTACCATGAGACCAGGATTCAAGAGAAAATTTAACTTCAGAGAGTTAACCACTAATGATCAACCAACTATAGTTAGGAAAACAACAGTGCCATCAAATCCCAATTGAATGCAATGTTTTTGTAATTAAGAACAGGTTGTTTTTTTTTTATCCATCAAATCCCTTTCTTTTTCTTTGATTGGATTTCTTCAAATTGAAAAATGGTTTTAAGCAACTTCATCCAAAAACATCAGATCTAAAATAAATAGAATATGGAGAGAGAGGACTACTGATGAGAGGGACCAAGTTATGGAGTGAAGAAGAACTTCTGTACTGGCATTTAATCAGTCATCAATATTAAGAGGTAAGTGTGAGTATATTTGCTGGAAAAACTAATTATATCCCAATTTTTCCAAGGCAAATGGTTAGTAAATTATTAAAAAAAAAATTGGAATTTAGTAATTTTACCTGAATCTTTGAATAACCCAAATTTCCACTTCTACTGAAGAGATAAATTTTGTGAAAAAGACTAAAATATTGTCAATAAATAAAGAAAAATATACGTGAAAATAGTGAGATATCTACTGTTTTTAGGAATTTTTTTATTATTCTTTTTGAAAGCAAATTCTAAAGTTCAATCCAATTAATGAACTGTGTGTGCATGTATTTAGACATATGAAAATAAAACATGTTTTTATACAATTTTTTTAAATGAAATTTATATATATATATCCTTATCTTAAATCATTTAACACATGTCATCATTAAAAAGAAAATTTAAAAAATTTATCTCTTTAAGCAAAACCACTGAATTATGTATGATATAAAACAAGAAGTTAAACTAAGTGAAGCTAGTTTAGTAAAATTCAATTTTATAGTTTAGTAAACTTCATATTCACTTGTATAGATACAAAAATCTGGCTTTAAGTTTGTTCAAGCTTCTTATCAATATGCTTACCCTGCTCTCTCCCCTTAGTTCATTCAAATAAAATAAAAATAAATAAAGCTCAAGTAGGGAAAAATGTCTATTGTATAGTAAGCAGCAAAAAAAAAGGAAAAAAGAGATTAAATATTAGTAATTATAAATTGACAGTAAAATTTTATTAGAAAAATTGGTTCTCTCCCTCAACAAATATTATAAATCTTACCTCATTTTCAACACACTGAAAAAGGAATCATTAATATTTAAAATTAAATACTTTAAATCCTTTATTTTTAAATTAATAATTTCATGGCTTGCAGAATAAAATTATGCCAAATATTTTGTTAATGTCAAAAGTTTGCATTTAAAATCTAGTTTTAATTTTTAATGTTTTTAAAGAAACAAACACATAATTATAAAGTTTATGTTTTAATATAACATTTAAATTATGTACATTTTAATTCCTCTGTTTCCTTAACTGCCAATATATTTGAATTTAAATTCATGAACTGATGGAATAAAAGGAAATAAATTCTGAAAATTCTAATCATTCATATTTCATTCACAGATAAAAAATTTATATAATGACAATTTTATGTTATGTATATAGTGGTCAAATCTTAATTTTATAAAGAAAATAGTACAGAAAAATTCTATCAGCAAAATCTGGACCAAAACTACATAAAAAGCAATAACCAAAGAATAATGGTTAGATTTCTACACAGTTTTTAAGGAATCACTTAATTTGAGACAGTTTTAAAATTCTTAATCATTTACATTCAGATATTAAAAGAAAAAAATATCATAATATAGGCAATATTAGATTCTAATAACTTAAAGCATTAGAATGGAAGCTTTAAAATTTAAGGATAAATATTTTTCTATAGATGAAAATCATTAACCCCCAAAATGAAAGCATATTTTGAATCAGAGATAAGAGTAAAAAAGTACAAAATAACATATTTCTAACAATCAAACACGTAATGTGAGCTCAAGATCAAAATAGTCTTCCTATGAGTTCAAATTTTGAAAGTAAAAATTTGTTTTTGCATATTACCTGTTCAGTGGAGAGATTCTAGCAATGTGTAAATAGATAGATAGACAGAGACAGGTAAGGAAGCTTTAAAGAAATACTGGATGAAATCATATACATTTAATACAAAAATAAGAGATAATTAAAAATTTTAAATGACTGGTTTAAACCATTTCAACATATTTATAAAAAAAATACAATGAACAATTCTTGATTATTTTTTACTTACAGAGGATAGAAATACATGAATATCCTTGAAGTGGGTAAATATAGAATTTTTATATTTCCTTGTTTATAAGAAATTGTATCCAAATTTTACTAAATCTTAAGTTACTCCATTACTGACATCAGTGTGGTCTAAGCAACTCTAAAAAATGTAAAATTAAACAAAAAGAGTTATAGGTATCTTATTTTATGCAGCATTACAGAACTACCAATTCCACTAGTTTAGTTACATTGAAATGTCTTTCTTTTTCTATTTATTAGACCCAAGCATAAAAATATGTTACCATTTAAGAAAGAGTCATTCATATTTTCACTAAAATAGAAAAAAATAAAAACAATATTCATCAACCAAAGCTAATCAGTTTTTATACTCTTTATGAAGTTCAACAAATTAAATTCAACTTAAGAAAATATCCTAAATCTTTTTAGTTTCTTGTATCTACAAAAGTCTGATTTAGATTTTTTTTATAATGGTTATGAGTATAGCTATTGATACAAATAAAGAAAGCAACAGCTAATTTCAGTTGAATTTTATTTGAGAAGAGAAATCAAGTTAGATCTCCCTCAAAATCATGAAGACTATGTTTTTATACTCCTACAGAATAATTAATGCAATTTTTACAAAAAATAGTTACTACCATTTATAGAATTCCAATGACCAAAATATACTGAATAAAATATTTTATTCCAGGTTTCCTGAAATCTTGGTCTTCCAATGTTTTTCCTTCCCATTTTTAGATTACATTATAACCAACACAACTGTTTCATTTTTTTAAAATGATTTTATTAAAACTTTCATATTTTCTGTGTCAAATTTGTTAAATTTGTCAAAGTATCAGTAAAATGCTTTTTAGTTTCAAAATATTCACTTTTAGGTATTCTGAAAAATTAATCAATACAGTTATATATAATCTTGAAAAGAAGAAGATTTTTTTTTACCAATTTTCATAGAACAATAAAACAAAACTTTTTATACAGTTGATAACATGCATATTTTACTTTTTATTGATAATTAATCAATGATACAGAATCCATCAACTTACTGTCATGAAAAAAAATAAAGCAATAGGAAAGAATATATTTAAGATTTTAAAATTCTCATACATAATAAATTCAGTAATTCTTTTTGCCTACCCATAATTTTCCAATGTCCCTCAGAAGTGAAATATACTTTTGTGAATCCAGAATCACCTACAACAGAAGATCACAGAAATAAACAGACATGCCATATACTTAAAAAATAGTTTTTGACAATCTTATTTTAAAAGCATTTCAAATATTAGGCAACATCAAATAAAAAAATAAAAAACCTGCACCTATATAAAATGGATTTTTTATTAATAATAGTGTTTTAATAACAGGATTTCATTCATAATAAAATACAACAATGTAATTTAACACATCTACTTTTCTAAATGACAGCACAATCTGCCAATGATTTGAAAATTTTGAAAGATTGGAAGATTCAAAAAATTTATATATATATATATATATATTGCCAATATGTTTGCTGACAGACCAACTTCCAAAAATCTGATCAACAAATGACCTAACATCAAATTTTCAGGGTGGGAGTACTTCTTGGTCTGGTTCAGAAGTTTTCAGTAACCTCTTATACCTCCGTTTTTTTTTTTTTTTATTGCAAACAAAACTATATAGATATAAGTTTTAATGCCAATAGTACTTTCACTATTATTCTATTCTAAAACAAATCAAATTAAAGATTACAAAAGATTTCCAAGGAGGAATTGAAAGTGCATTTATACCAGATAATGTTATGGGAGTTCAAGCAAGGGAGACATCTAGAAAAATATGCTGTGTTCATGGTCAATGAGTCATAACTGGCCAGTAGATATGTTCAATAGACTTTGATGAAGTTCTAATGTCATTTGTGGAAAGCAATCAACACAAAGTACTTGAGAATTAGCAAAGATATTAAACACATCACAATCTACCATATATTGATACTCACTTTACTGGTCTTCTAAGTAAGCTAGGTATTTTGGTTACACATGTTCTTAGCAAAAAGAAAAAAAAGATTGTTTATTCATAGTGAGAAATCTCCTTTCACAACAGAGAAATAATGCATTTATTAAACAGATCATGACAGGTGATGAAAAATGACAAAGATAAATCTTCACAACTGACCCCAAAATCTGAGTTTTATGGATTAATTTGTTCTTTTTTATGGCTTATCAACCCTTGGTAGGTTATTTAAACCAGAAACATATCTTGAATTGTAAGAAATTTTTTTGCTTGAATATTGCATTAAAAGTTTTTTTTTTGAAATAATTATTTTTCCAGATACAAGTACTACTATTTAAAACATGACCGGGGAGGAGAAAAGATAGATTCATATGTTTCTCAAAGGAATTTGTATGTAAATGAAGGCAATGAACTTGACTCGAATTTAAACTCGTCTCTGATTTCTCATTCTGAGCTGCTATCTCTTACACCACCCGCACATCCTGAGTTCCATGGAAAAAAAACTAACATTGTGTGTGTAGTGGGATTCATCAGAGTATTATTCATTTAGAATTTTTAAAATGCAATAAATGCACATTTATACATCCAGCAGCTGCAACATGTCCATAAAAGTTTGGTCAAAAGTGCCCTGAGGTCATATATAGGAAAAATGTTCTCCACCCTGACAATACAAGTCTGCATACAGTAAGAATGACCAAGGAAGAAATTTTGGAACTTGGTTGGTTTGTTCTACTCCACTCACCATATTCACATGACTTTGCACCAACCAAATATTACCCTTTTGCTACAAAACACTTTAATGGAGTAAAGCTTTCTCTAATGTTTACCAGATTCAAGAGGGTGTTGAAAACTTTTTCACATCAAAATCTGTGGAGTTTTACTGAAAAGTTACTGAAGAGCAGCTTGATAAATGTCAGCAAGTTATTGCAAATAATAATGAATATATAATTGAATAAAATGTATTTTATTTTTGAAGAATATCGTTGATAAACAAAAATGGAAATTATTTATGATTCAACCTAGAATGATAATTCAAGGGAGATAATTTCATGCTCAATGCTAAAAAGAAATTATCCCACTAAGTACAAATAGACTCAAAGCACATTACATAATTAAAAGTTAGAATTTAACAGAACAAAAATTGATTCCTATTAAATTTGGTAGAAATTTTTTTACATTCAGCCACAGACCGATAATAGAAATTCCTGTCATCTACTAACAGATTTCAAGTTTTTTGAGTCTAGAGAAATAAGGTGTCTTGTTGTTGCAGATTTTTACATCAGGTTGTAAGACACACTGAAATTATACAGTAACTACAACTAATGTATGTCCATTAAAAAATAGTTTGAAATTATATTAGAATATAAAAATAAGTAAAATATGATTTCAACTGACAAAATTTATCCAGAGATTTTTGTTTTTCATAATTTGTAATATTTTAATTATGGTTAAGACTATTTCTGCTTTGATATCTATGTTTTTCAGAAAACTAAGTCATAAATGCAAACATTGCAGTTAATTTCTTAGCACAAATTGCAGTTACAACCTTTCTTAAAGGTTATTTTCTTAAAATTTTGCATTAAACTGTCAAAGTTCAATATTACAATACATAAAAAAAATAACTTTGTAGAGGTTAACAGGCAAATTACACACTTCACATTTGTTTCAGTGAAACAGATGTAAATATTGATTTTTATTGCCTTTACCAATGATGTGAGAATCTACAAAAAATTTAACACTAATTTCTTGTCATGCTTCATCTTGTGTAAACCACTATTAGAAAAACTCTCGGAACATTGAGTAGTAGATAGTTTAAGAAAATACAAATCAAGTACTACTTATCAATAATTAACAAGTATTTTTCATGAAACAAACTTAGCTAGTCACATAAAAAGAGGGACAAATTTTAGCTATGTTGAAAAAAAAATGTCATTAATGCTAACATTTTTGCTTCAATATCTTCTGCAAACAAAGTTTTCTTTTAGACTGATACATATTCCCACAAGTGGCTAGGCTGCTGGAGAATGATTGTTTTTATTGAGATCCAATCTCTAGATAGAAGATCTTTATACTTGGATGGCAAAGTATCTGTTCATTTGGTGAGGACTTGTGACTATGGCCTAGTACAACTCTCAATGACCTCAAAACACTATCATCTATACAATTTCAGTCAACATTTAAGTAAATCTGAGGTACAATTTACAGGCATTTTCCAACAGTGCTGCATGCTGGGATTGTCTTCCCAGAACAATATTAGTCAATTAGCCACATACCTGTGAAACTACAGACTACTTCAAAAATATGTAGCATTTCAACAAATAATGAGAAACCAAATTCAGATTTTGATTAAATAGTTATGACTTGTTTTGAGCTAAGACATACTGGCTTTATGTATATCTGTACATAAATAACTTCAAATTATTCTTTATATTATTAGTTCCTCGTTATTTACTGCAAATTTTCTTCATTCTGGTATGCATTTAATATTACAACCAGTTTGTATATGTATATCCAAACAAGTTTGATTAAAAAGAACCAACAAGGTCTAATTTATTATTGTATCTTTCCAATTTTCAATTAAATTGTTGAGTATTATGCTCTAAGTTGTGGATAAACTGCACAAAGTTTATATTTTGTTATTGTTTTGTTCAAGTACTTTTGAACATCATAGTCATTTTCAAGAGTCAATGTGGTGTCTGTGTGGTAATTAAAATTCTATTGTTTACATCCTAGTAACTACTACACAAACATTATTAAGTGTGAAGTAGCATTGATTGGTGATGAGACGGTTTATTTGTTGAAAGAGAGAGCTTCATCCTTGAGTTAGATGCTTTTTATGAGATTCAGGCATTTTTCAACTGGGACATTGGTGTCAAGAGACTTTACATCTTAAATGGTGGTCATGTTCATTTTTCTGCCTAAGTTCTTTATATGAGATGGACTGATGAGCATAAAAGGGACATTTTACAAAACAATAGGTTAAATGTGTTGGTTGCTCACCATAATGAGACTGACACACAATTTTGACAAAAATGCTACTCTGATCAAAAGAGAAAATAATTCATTATGATGTAAATGTCTAGAGAGTGCCTTGATCACAAGGTCATCTATACTAAATTTGAAGCTTGCCTCTTACAACAATTCATAATTCATAGCAGATCTTCTATTATCACAGTGTGGGATATCTACTAACAAAAGTAATGAAAAGAAAAAGACTCTAAATGAGTTTGGCGAGATATAAAAAAAAAAAATTCTGAAATCCCCAGCAATCCTTGGTTGTATACATGTGAAGTTGCACCAACATAACAAATCTAGTTCAATGAAGTCCTGAAGAATGAAACACGTCACAAGTAAACTTTTCCACTTTGGCATATTATATATGTATGAAACCGTAGAAAAATATAAGTTATAAGCCCCAGGTTTTAATACTTAATTTCTTGAAAACCACTTTCAGCATTCCACTCAATCTGTTCAATATATCAGATGTCTCTGAAATCTGAATAGTAATTGTGGCATCTTTTCTAATTCACTCACCACTTCAATTTCAGATCCTTAAGATATGATTTCTATCATCAAGAATTTGTATGTCAAGCTTTACTTATGTTATAGGATCCTTTCTGTTGAATTAGTGACATTAAAAGAGGTCTTTAGCTTCCAACTACATGTATAATGTATACAGCTCTCCTAATAGGAATGTTGATATAAGGCAATCAAGTTTAAAAACATCTGAACAATGAGAAATTTATTCATATCTAATGATTATTAGTTATTTTAGACATATACTTGAATAAGAAAAAAGCAAAATTTTATTACTTATAACTTATACAAATTATTAAAAAAAAAAAAAATGAAAACTTTATTTTTGTTTATACATTTGTGCTTTTAAAATCTTTTAAATATCAATTCACTAATATAAAAAAAAACAAAAGACATTGAAATAATCAAAATAATGCAATATGTTATTCATAATAAATTTTTTTTAAAAAGTGAAAAAAAATAAGGCAAATACTCACATTTGCGTGTCCTTCCCGAAGTAGCTTGTGCAGTACATGCAGAAATTTCCAGCATACAATAGCGTTTCCTTGAAGAGGGAGTTTAGATGTGGTTGCCCAGAAAACACCAGCACCATTTTCATGGAATGTGCCTAAAATGGCACCTATAAAGGGTTAAGAAAACTAACAATACATATTGAACAAATGCTAAAAGTATTTGCAAAAACCTTTTTAGCTTGAGTATAAATTAATTTTTTTCTTTTGCTTAAGTAACAAATGACTTACCAGCATTCTTTCAATCATTTCACCGAAAGTAAGGTAATCCACTAAGATGCAAGGTGGGGTTAATGTGAGTGAAATAAACAGAGGACTATAAAAAAAGACAGAAGATTATAATTGACATTGCATTTGAATTTGTGAAGATCATAGTTAACAGAAAGAGAGTGAGAAGTGCAAGAAATTTTTAGCATAGAATTTATGCTTACAACTAGTAATTCCAACAGTCAAATTAATTAACTTAGCTGCCAATTTAATACTGTGCTTAAATTTGTGAAGTCGAAGTACCAATGAGGAAAGATCTTCAGAACAATTACCATAGAAGAGGCAAAGGGGAGCTATGTTACAGTGGTGGGAAAGTAACTGATGTTGAGATGCCAGGTCAGGATAATGTTGCAAATTCTTTGGATTTTGTCAAGAATCTTTAGATACATAGGAGAAGCACCAAACCAAGTGTGGCAGCAATATTCAATGCACATTCAAATGTGCAAGACAGATTCTGATGAGAAGAATTTCACAACATAGTGAACCAGCTTTTCTAGCAGCAGACCTTAGCTGTTGATTCAATATAATTAGGTACCTCCAAAGAAAAGCAATGCTTAATGTTTAAAGTTTTAGAAATTAAAAATCTTTCTTGAAGGTTTTATTTTCATTTTAATTGCAAGTTAATAGATTAAATTTAATATTTCCAAAAAGCAAAATACTTTGCTGTGTTTCAAAATGTATTTAAATTGATTGGAATGAATTAAAAAAAAAAATTTAAAAATGCCAAAAATGGCTGATTTTAGCCATATTTACAAATCTCTCAGCATAACATAATTCTCCTTATTAAAAAAATATCAAAAAATAAAAATATATATAAAATTTATCAAAAATAAAATATACTTTTCTGAAACTTTATTTGAGGTAGATTAGTTCATTTAAAGTTTAATTAATCTGGTTAGAAACAAATATTACTTATTTTCAGTTTAAAATATTAAAGAAAAGCATTTTTAACACAGAAGTGGGTGTTTTTTTTAGAATTGTTGACAATCATCTTGACAGATTTATGTTTCAAATTTTTTCTATACGAAGACAAATCTTTAAAAATTAGTTGACTATAATGTGAGCTCCTTTATTTTATATAATTTTTTAACTATTCACTAATCTTAAAAAGTCAGACACACAAAAAAATTCAATTCAATTGTATAAAAAACACTGTTAGGTTGCTGAATTGTAGTAAGCTTTTCCATTTATGATTAGTAAATATGTTTTTTACTTAATAACAATAACACCTAACCAGTAAAAATTAATACAGAATTTTTTAAAATGCTGTATTAATTTAAAATATTATTGATTTAAAACTTTATAAATTATTCTAAGTAAAATAAAAAAATGAAAACAATTCTTATAAAAACTTATTAATCAATGAAATAAAATTTTTTTTCTTAAAACAAATATCCATTATACATCTTATTCCTAAAAACAAAAAAAAAATCTCATTAAATATCTTAGTTTTATTGCATTTTTTATTTTACAATTCAGACTATTTTTTCTGTAACTGTCAGTTCTGTTTCACAACAAAAAAAAGTGGGTAATTTAAATTCTTTAAGGATGTGTACTTATAACTAACATTAAGCCCTACAAAAATTATTTTCTCAAAATTCCCTGAAATTAAATGTGGGGAGTAACAAATGTAAAATAAAATATTTTTACCAAGATTTTCTAAAAAAGAAAGGTTTCTAAAATAATATTTATTTGTGAATAAGTCCTGAAACTTTCATTCAAATCTGACAATTATATGATTTTTGCAAGAATTTCCAAATCAATCCATTTTTCACCACAAAAAGACTCTAAAATGTCCTATAGTAACTAATTTATGGTCACCCACTGATGCAGGAAAAAAAACATTAAAAAAACTTTGAATGCCCTAAAAGGATTAAAAATTAAAATTTAATAATCAAAAAATCCTTTGGTTTTTCCTCTTAATAACAACAAAGATTTTGACAATAAAACTTTATTTTATGACATTTGGGGAATTTTTTTATAATGTAAGCTCATTTTCAGCAAATCATTAGAGAAACCTAAATTCCACTTAATTTCAATGGAAAATGTGAGACCAAGAAGTTGCAGTGAAGAAGGCCTATGGTTTATAATCCTAAAATAAGCTATCACCAGGAAGAAACTCAATTATGTATTCTCACTGTTTCAACAACTGTTCCTCCAGAACATCACAAGACGAAATGGGTGTTGGATGTTTTGACTCCCACCATCTCTACACAATTTCAGATTTTATTATGCAAGTTAATATTTACACAATTGGTATTAAAAAAAATGATGCTCATAAAATTCATAGGATATACTTATATTTATTCTAAACACACAATGTGAATTTCAGCTTATATTATGTTTTTTTATTAAAAATATTTACAATAATTTGGTGGTGCAAGATTACAATATGCAACTCTAGGACTATTCACAATATTGGAAATAGATAATAGCATATTTTTTTTTTTTCTAATTTCAGATATAAAGGTTGCCATGGGTTGTAAAACAGTTATAGCCTCAAACAGAAATCACCTGACCTGCAGGCAGAAGTACTTACTACAAAAACGAAACCTGTGGAGATCAAAGCATCCAAAGTCAATCTGTTTTGGTAGAAGCTCATAAAAGATCATTTGAAGAGGTCAGTAATGTGATTGATCATGAAATCATAATAAAAAAAAATTCATCAAAACATTAATGATCACCAATAATACAAAATAGCTACTGACAACCAGTAATTTAATTGGCAAAAACTTCTTTAATCCAACTAAGCAACTGAAACTAAAGACTATCAGAAATGAGTAAGTGACAGTTACATCATAATCCAATAAGGAAATAGAATATAAACAGCAAGGAAATATTGCATTTCACCTTTTAATCTTATTGCAAAAATACATAATAAATTAGACCTAAAAAACTCATGACACTTGTCTCTATGTCTTATAGCATAGGGCTTCCAGACAATTTTTTTTAAACCAAAACTGACAAATCAAAAGCAGTTCAATACATTGTCAAGGATACTGACAATGGAATATTTCCAGAAAAACCAAAAAGTTGCTTAGTAATCATGGATGGAAATGCAATCTTTCATTGTCTGAATTTGAGGAGATTGCCGAAGTTATTTTAAAAATGGCATTACAAAAGTGTCCTGTAATATTTAGTACTGACATAAACAACAATGCTCAGTTAAAGGACTCGAAAGAAGGACTGGTGGTGAAGAAAAATTTATTGTTGGATGGGGGAAAAAAAAACAACCTGTCCAAGAGACCAGAAGAACTTTCTTTCTAATGATGCGAATATGGAGCAACTTGTACAAATTTTGCTCTCGACTTGGAGCAGTGAATCATTTTCCAAAAAACTGGAGGGCCATGAAGTGACTCTGATTTGTGAGGGTAGAGCTTATCATTTATTATCAAACAGAACATCAACAATGTGCCAAGAGATTGTTCGCTATTCTCCACACAGGAGGAAACAGATTACTAGATTACAGGTACTATATTGTTTTTATGCAAAAGAAAAGGGATTCAAGTTTGTTAGAGTTAGAAGTCTTGACTCTAATATTTTCTTTATTCTTCTTTTTTATGCACGTAAGCATAATATTTGAAACAGGAAAGGGAAACAAAAAACATTGCATCAACAAGGCAGCTAATTCCCTAACACAAAACTTTTGAAACACTATTTGGCCTTTGTGTCTTCACTGGTTGTGACAATGCAAGTGCTTTAAGGGAAGTTGAAGGTAATAAAAACCTTTGAAAAAAAACAAGTACTTCCAGGAGATGTTTATTAAATTAGGAGTTCTAGAAAATAAATGGAGACATTTTAAGTTCCATTAACGGATTTTGTATGGGAATAAATGATTTAAAAGTATTAATGAACTGAGATTCTTCATGTTGCAATCAAAATATGTTAGGGAAGATGGGACTCATGTATCAGGAAACTTTGACTTAAGTGCATTGCCACCTTGCACTGATACACTTTGGTAACATTTAAATTGAGTCAAGTACCAGGTTTGAATCTAGAAACGAGCACATACTGTTAAGTCAGTGGCCATGGATGGATTCATGGTAAAAATCATAAAATTATACCACATTGGATTAGTGGAAACATCATGCCAGTTCTGCTCGTCAATGTTCTTGAAAACCTTGATTGTGAATCTGACAGTGTTAATGATGACAATCATGGATACTTAAATGAAATGTAAGACTGTGGTAATGAATATTTCTAAGAAAATGATAACTAGAGTTATTTGATTTTTCTACCTTTAGTGAAATCCTTATTTGCATGAGTTTTTAAATTATAATGGGATTTTGGGATAGAATGATCATAACCCTACACAATGATATCAAATTTATTGAAATTTGACAATCCAAAGAAAAGTTATTGGCTTTAAGGTTTCCCCTCCCAACAAATCCTGATGTCCATTTTTTTCATTTAAGGGGGTGGGGTGTTACAAATGTGTATTTCTAGTATAGTGGGAATGAGATTACTGCTAGTTAACATTTGATTCAGGTATCACAGGACCCTGGGCTACAAGAAAATATCAAGGAAGTTTGTTTTTTAGTTTTTTTTTATGGAATTCTCTCCTATATATAAAGTAGAATGTGTGTGTTTGTGCATGTGTGGGTCCAAGCAACTCCACTGATTTCAATGATTTGTAGCTCATTCAAAAGCTCTAGAAAAGTTAGGCGCAGGGAAAGATTTTGATGAGCTCAGATTCAGCATTACCAGATTATGCAAAGTTAAATATATATATTAATATATTATATTAGCCATTATCGTTTCTTTCATGGTTCAAGGAGAGTAACTCTTATTTTCCTTTTGTATCCAAAATTGCAGTACATGTTTTATTATAAACTAGCTTAAA